AGCCAAGATCAGGTAAAACTTCATTACTCTCAATCTACCCTCCTTATTTAATTACCTTACGAGTGGATAGCTAATTATAACATGATACGTAGTATGGCCCCTGCTGAAACAAAAACATCTGCCGCAGCGAATTTCTTTGCTCCAAGGACCCGGCGTAAATTGCCAACGCAGAATTATGCCCGCATCGAACGTCCTCAATTCAACCTCGGAATCCGCGCGCGCGCGCTGATTCTAGCGCAACTCCGGCTCCTTCCTCTCCTCTTCCAACTGGCGAAGATACAATTGTCTGCGCGCCCCCGGGTCATCCTGACTGTGAGTCAGATGATGACATGCCCGACGCGGATACACCAGAGCCGCCATTGAACAGTAGTCATATGACGCTCGCAGAGAAAGCCGGACTTATCAAGAAGTGGGCCGACAACAAACAAAAGCATGTTCGCAAGAAGAGAGACAAGAACAGCCACGTCTATTGGTATATGCAGAGGAAGCTATAGACAGAAGCTTTTACTCAGAGGATAAGGATGGGCCGAAGATCTTCCAAGAGTTCCGGTGGACTTGTATAGAGTGCCTTCAAAATCCCAATACTCTTCGGAAGAGATTCCAGGTCCTCGAATCGAACCGCCGAGGGTTACCTCTGGCATGGGAGACCATTTAAAAATCCACGGTATTACGAAGGAATCTCACCACGCTCGAATTAATGGATACGGCCGCGCCATTGGTGGAGGAGATTATACAGAGGCAGACGCATGGAGCGGTCGACCTAGGCAGAGAGCAAGACTCACGGCAAAGGAGTCTATCCGCCGGTGGTTTGTAAAACACCGACAACCCTTCTCTGTTGTCGAGACTCCTGCTTTTCAAGAGATGTTCTTGGCTCACAACACAACATGTGTGTACAGGAGTCGTATAACGTTACGCAATCATATATATACAGACTTTGTCGAACGCAGGGAGAAGCTGAAGATTGAGCTTGAGTACAATTGTGCCACCATCTCGTTCACCCTTGATATCTGGACAGCACCGAATCGGGTGCCCATTTTCGCCATTATTGCGCACTGGATTACACCGGAGTTTGAGGAGAGAGAGAAGTTATTGAGTTTATTGAGCTCAAAAGATCTCACACTGGCAAACAATTAGCTGAGATAGTTGAGAGGACGCTTGAGGAGCTCAGGCTCAAGCCTAAGCTTCTCGCCATTACGGGAGACAACGCCGGCAATAACGGCACGCTCTGTCAGTCTTTGTACGATTCTCTCAAGACCAAATTCGACGACAAGGTGAGCCCAATAGGGAGGCCCGCATGCGCTTTCACGGCAGGAAGAGTTGGATCCGCTGTCTAGCTCATATTACCTCGCTCATTTGTGAGGGCGTCTTGCAAGATCTCAAAGCAGGCACAGCGAAGGAAGCCAAGAAGATGCTTGACAAGTGGGACGAAGAGAATAAAAGCAACAACTACACCATTCCGGGAGACTCTAGTCGAAGTGGGATTGCCAAAATCCGCCTCCTCAATCTCTGGATGTTGAGATCCGGGTCTAGGAGCAAGACTTCAAAAGCATGCCGCGCACGCACTACCGGAAGCCAACCTACGATGTCGACACTCGCTGGAATTCGGCCTACGACATGATTGACCAATTCCTCGAGCTTGAGGCAGAGTATACTGAGTTCGTTGATACTCACCCGCAAGTCAAGTGCCTCCTGCCCTTATCAGAAGAGATTGTCGCTCTCTATCAACTGCGGAAGGTTCTGAAGCCGTTTAAAGACCACACTCTGAAAGTCTCCGAAGTTATGCCGCCGATCTCACAAAGTCTCGATATCTATTGGGATTTGGAAGCTCTCCTGATGATGTAGTCGAAGGAGTTGGCGACTTTACAGACCTTGATATGTCCATTCGAGACGCCTTCTCGAAGGGCAAAGCAAAACACGTTACTTATATGAAGAAGCTTGACGATCAAATGATGCTATTCGCAGCTCACATCCTGGATCCGCGTTATAAAACTCACCAATTGGAAATGATGATACCGGATCAATACTCTGAGATTATGGCTAAAGTCAAGAAGTATTTCAAAACGGAGTGGCCGGAGCTAGCAGCATTGAATGCCACAAACTCAACTATGAGCCAATCCAGACCAGCTGAGCGTCCTCAAGGAGTCTCCATTGCGCAATGGAGAGCCATCCAAATGAAGAAGGCGAGGAGGCGGAGACGGGCGCGGCGATCCCTATTTCGGAGCTTGAACGGTGGCTTGCAGCTCCTCGAATAGAGTTCGACGAGTCTATTGCAAAGTCTCCAGACTTCCTACTGAAGTGGTGGAAAGAACACAAGGTCGAGTGGCCACTTTTGGCTGCGGCGGCGCGTGATCTTCTCTCTGTCTCTGGCTCTGAAGTTGACGTGGAACGCCTCTTCAGCGGTTGTAGAGACGAATTCGGTATCCGCCGTCACGCCTTGAAGGCAGATACGGTGCGAGTACTAACACTTTTACGGAGTGCTTATACTCAGGAAGATAAGATCGATCAGGCGTTGATCAAGGCGGCCATGGAGTATGACATCCTGCCCTTTGCCAATAGTATTATTTGGAGACCAGACCACATTCCGGGCAAGCTGGAAGATGGTATGTATGGATATACCCTCATTATATATGTAGGTATATGCTAATCTGTGTTCAGGCGAGAATCCTCCTCAACCTCTTCCTCCCACCGAGGCTCCCACTGAACCCCTACCCCAAACCTCCTGCATCCCAAGCCGATAAGTCTGCGATATCAACCCCCTGTCTAGATACAATGGAGGCTTCGGAGGATTGGGGCTCTAAGAGTGTAGCCGTGTACAGTGGCGGATTCGAACGCGTTGTACCGACGTATTTTGAGGATTCGGCAGAGCTTTGAAAGTGCTTATTTTCAGTCGATTTGCCTAGGACAGGCGGATCAGTATTTATGTAAGTTAATTTTTGTAGTATTCGGGATTATCGACTTCTTAGAAGGCTATAACTTAAAACTATATACTACTTATTGGCGTTTTTGAGGCATCTTTGCAATCGCTCAGGTACACACCAAATTCACTTCGTTTAGGGATCCTTCAAACCATTCATGAATGGCCTGAATTGGCCCAAACCCAACTTGAATCGCGAAAATTGGAGCTTGAAGATTTTGAATCAAGATCCAAAAAATTCAATTCATTTGATTCATCCTTCATTCAAAATCTTCAAAATCTTCACCTTCGTCTATCACCCCTACCTACAACCAGCACTTATCACAGACGAGTACGAGCGATATTGTAAGTCTGAACGGGTTTATGGGTTCACAAGCGCCCTCGCATGGTGGCTGGAGGAAACACAGCAAAAGAACTACCCATACCTGAGCAAAATGGCGGTGGATATACTGTCAATTCCCGCAATGTCTGCTGAGCCCGAAAGACTCTTCTCTGGGGCAAAATAACCATCACAGACCGTCGAAATCGACTTGGAGTGATGTAATTCAGGCATTGGAGTGCTTGAAGTCATGGTTTGGGATACAGGATTTTCAGGGTGACGATATTTCAGCAACGACGGTTGAATAATGAGGTCACGTGGGATATACGGGATATATTGTTTTACTGGCAATATATTGGGTCACTGGCAATACAATACAATATGGACCAATGCCATATTGCGCAATACAATACGCACCTCTTGACAGTACAATAATATTGCGAGGGGTCCATATTGCCAATATACGTATTGTTTATATTATTAGCAACACTGCAGCAACCCATCGTATCCTCCCAAAGTCCTGCTCTTCACCACGACCTTACTTTTGTGTGATAGCTGTAGTATTCTTGTCCAAACGGCCTAGCTTGGCCGAAACCATACTGCCGGCGGAAGAAAAGGTCCTTTCACACTCAGCAGACATTGCATCATAGCCATAAGCCCGAAACCACGCAGTGGCCGGCCCAGGTCGAGTTGAGAGAGCCGAATAAGCGCGGACAGAGGAAGAAACGGCATCCCAACGCGTTAAATGATGCATACGAGTATATCTGCTCGGCCCGGCTGTGAAATATATTTTGCTATATGCTGCAGGCAGCAGAGGAAAGGGGCCAAAAGGGCAATTCTAAAACCTGGAAGAGGCGGCTCGGAAGCTAGACACCGGCACATCAGTCAACCGCAAAGATGACATATTAGCAGAAGTACCTATACTTCTCGCAGTTTCCCAGATGTCTATCTACATTTCGTCTGTCTAACTGAAGATGGATAGATGACCCACATGGACCTCCGGTAGATAGATAGGTGCAGATCTACGTCTTTCTACATCTACATGTCATCTACATTAGTAGATAGATTCGCCAGCCTGCCTGCGGTCCACGGCAATGGGAGGAACCACTCGATCAATTCACCAGCCAAAAGAGAGATAGATGCACATCCCAACAGCACTGCTACTAGGATGGCTGATATGGCCTGTCGCTGATTGCAACACGATGATTTGCCTCCATGAGGTTGAACTGACCAGATTAACGAGCACTCTCCGTTCAGTAGATGAAATGGGGGGGGGATTGCTAATTGAGTTTAGTGGACACTGGTTGAAGTTGTTGATATCCGAGCAGAATAGCCAAAGCTATCCCCAATCCCCACCATGTCTTTCCGCCACCGTTTGTTCGGAGATCACGGATATCCATAATCTGTCGCCCGGTTCCCCGTCATCGCTGGTGTTGTCAGCAGGAAGAAGCATCACCAGGCTTTCTAGTCGGCTTCGCCTATAGTTACAGAGATTATTATTCGTGCTCAAGTTATTGCATGTACCCCGAGTTCCCGAGTTGCCGGCCGACTGCTATTGTCCCCGGCTCGGTCCCGAGACGCATCTGGCTCATCCGGCGTGTCCGCTTTTTGGCCCCGGCTGGCGGATGTGCAGCTGGATCTGCCACTGGCCTGACCCGCATGTCCGCCGTTTTAACTTCAGCTACTCCTACGCTTCATTCATAACCTTCAAAAAGCTGTCCCCGTTCTTGTCGGACTCGGAGTTGTCCAACTCGATTCTTCAACACCATGCCTCTCGTCAAACCGCAACTTCTGCCTCGCACCAGGATGAAGACCGTCCTGACCACCCTTGCCATGGGCGGCATAGGTCTTGGCGTCATCACAGTCATGAGGCGAAGCTATTCTCAGGCCGCATCTGGAACACCCCCTGCGGTCTTCGCCGGTGGACCGGCATTTGTTTCCTTGCCTCTCGAGAGCAGCGAGGTCGTGAGCCATGATACCAAGCGCCTACGATTTATATTTCCGCAGAACGATGCGGTTAGCGGGCTGTCATTAACATGTGAGAACATGGCTGCTGCTCGTCAGCGGTGCAGCGTTGCTTGCTAACTCCCGTCTAGCGGCTGTCTTGACCATGTCATGGCCAAAGGGGAAATGGCTCCCTGTCGCGAGGCCGTACACCCCCATTAGCGGAACAGGTATCATGAATCGACTCGTCATGGCTGCCCCGGCCACCTGTGCTAACCCGTGTTCTTGCGAAGATGACACTGGTTTCCTTGATCTTCTAGTCAAGCAATACCCAAATGGCAAACAGAGTACACACCTCCATTCGCTCCAGCCTGGCCAGACCCTACTTTTCGCCGCCGCGATTAAGCGATATCAGTGGCAGCCCAACAGCTTCCCACAAGTGACGCTGATCGCGGGAGGTGCGGGCATCACGCCAGTCTGTCAACTCGCACGCGGCATTTTGCGAAACCCCCAAGACAAAACAGCCATCAATCTCATTTTTGGCGTTAATTCCGACGAGGACCTGTTGTTGAAGGAGGAGTTCGATGGCTACGAGAGGGAGTTTCCTGGCCGATTCAAAGCAACCTATGTAGTCAGTCATCCCAAAAAGGCGTCACCGTTCCGTAAAGGCTACATCACGGAAGAGCTTCTCCGCGGGCTCGCGCCGCGTCCGGCGAATGGAAACACAAAGGTTTTTGTGTGCGGACCGCCGGCTATGGAAACTTCGCTAGTGGGTAAGAGAGGAAAGACGGGCGCTCTGGAACGTCTCGGGTACTACAGGAGCCAAATACAGGTATTTTAGCCAACATATTGTGGAAGCGACACTTTTAATTGTTGCACCATGCCTATTTAACTTATCACATATGTTGCTGCTGCTTTTTGATATCCTATTGTAATTTCTTACAACCGAGATGTCAGTCAGTGATCTTGCTGGACTGGATTGGACTGGATTTCAAGGTCGGATCCAGCCCTGTCCAATGCACAGGCTGGGGACTCCGGAAGCGCCAATGCAAATCCAGGTTTCAACATTGATTAAGAGAAATACAGCACCAAGAGGTCAACTGATAAACCAGAATTACTGTTCGGAGAACAAAAGAAGAGGAACAAATGCACAAGTTATGGTGCAGTGATTTTACGCGCATATGGACTCTTCTTTGGCGCTCAAGGAGCTCCGGACCATTCGATCTAGTCTAGTCTAAGTCTAAAAATTTGCGAAGGGTAAGTTAGTGATTGCAGCTGATGACGAAATTATAGGTGTAGGCGGTGGCGACGGGAACGCAGCTGACCTTTCGGTTCTTTATTAATTAATAATAATTATTGATGAGCTCAATAATACATATCAATACAGGATTATCGTCAAAATTACATAACAATATGACAAAATTATATCTTTATTTATCACTGAGGTGTCTGGCGACTCCGACGGATGCGATCGCAGAGGCGACCAGAGCACTCCCCTCCAACGCTCATTTGTCCTGGGTGGGTGACTCGACATATGCCTGTACAAGAGCAGTCTCAACCTGATGGTGAATATCATCTAGAGCAGGCTGCGCGGACAACCAGCTGGCGACAAGCACGCTCTTGTGAACCCAATTCGAATGAAACCTCTCCCTTGTAAACCATGAGGCGTCTCGACGCGCATATTCTGGTAGCCACGGGAAATTGGCAAGGACATGCAGTCGAAGCAGGGAAGGGTAGCGATCCAGCTGCAAAAGTGCCTCCTGGGTCGAGGCAAAATACCATCGTAGACTGCCCATCGCAAAGCCGACGGACGAGGCGATGATGAAGGGCAAGGTCGCAGTTCCCCATATCATGCTGCTGGCCGCGGCGGCAGTGAGGCCTAATGTCATCGCAGAGGTTGTTCCTGAAAGCATGCTCCGAAACATGCTAGATACTCTGGTGAATCGAAGCCTCGGGTTGAATCGGGAGGAAGCTGGCTTACACTAGACCTGGCCCACTGCGCGGCAAGTCAGAGAAGTGCAAAGCAGTAAGACAGCCGGGGAGAGCTTATACCTCGCATTGCCCCAGCCCCCCATGATCCTAAGAAGCCCATACGGGCTTTGTGGTAGGGAGCCATATTCGGATTCCTTAGATGAAATTAACCAAGAAGTCCTCAGCTTGGCGAGAATTTACGCAGCTCACGTTTAGTCCGGTCATGTCTTGCTGGGAATCGGGGGTTTGTGCTCATGGAGTCGTGGGGTTCTCGAGGTTCCGAACTTGTGATTGAGAACCGTCGTCTCCAAAATCTTTCATGTCGCCGGGAAGCGCCTTGGGACTAAGGGGGTTTCCGGTCATCTGCCGCATCCGGTGATCCGCCGGGTTCCAGGCACTTCGCACGACTTCGCACTGCTTATGAAAGGCGGAAGTACCGGGATCATCTATTCTGAATATTTATCATTTCCTCAATCGAAAAGATTGGGCTGTTGTGGGCTAGTCGGCATCATGAGCTTGATAGTGAGTGCGTACTGCGGAACTTGTCGCTCCACCTCTGCCATCGTAATGTCCGGCGTGGCGACAGCTGTTCCACACTGGGGTCTTTCCACTTCCTCTTCAACTATTTCCGCCAGGGGAGGGAAGAAGACGGTCAGCATTTCCTCAGCCTGTTCTTTGCTGTTTGCCGTGCAGGTGCCATCAGCTCTTACGAGCTGCGGCACCTTGACAAACGCCGCATCGTCTCCCGACTTCATGTACTTTGCCACCTCCCACATGTTATCGTTATCTGCGAGAAACTCGTCCCAGTGCTTCTTCTTCTGCTGTCTGATGGCGTCGTGATACTGCTTGGCCGCTCCTTTGGCTGTATCGTCGAGTTCTCCTCGCACCTGTCCTGCTCGTCTCGATGATCTGGCACGATTCCTCCAATACGTGTAAATGCGACGAAGCTGGGTGAGGTCCGATGTCCACCAGCGCTTCGCATAAGGCGATGGCCGCGCCCTGGGCGCCAGGGCGCGCACCACCTCCAACACCACCGACATAAGCCTGTCAGTCTGTTGTTGTACCGTTCCCGAGATTGCACAATACCCATGGAGTTCTCACTCTTTAGAATTCTGCGAGGACCTATCCCCTCGGTTGATTACACCTTTTTTTGTAATTAGATGAATTACTGCAAGCTTAGATGTCTGCGTGCAACATCGGCACCAGAGTGTTTGACCGTTTCACTGAAATGAAGCGAATAACAAGTTCTGGCATTCTCCGGCCTTCACGAATCTCACCGCGCCGATTTAAAATATCGGAATGAGCTAGGAAATCTAGCAGCATCCCTTTTCCTTGCCCAATTTAGAAGATATTAACTTGGAAGATGATGCACAATGCGTCGAGGAGGTCTTAGGGTCTGCCTTATCCTGGCTGCCCGAGTCCATGCCTATCCCGGCCCAGTGTAAGCCTGAGCACTCGACCTAGCAAGAGCCAAGGGTTGGAGAAAGCGGAGCGCGAGTACGGGCTCTTGGGGTAGGGGTGCTTGGAGAGAATGGGTCCGGTCTGGATACCCCATGTATTCTAATGCGCGAGACGATGCGTATGAGCTAGGGTTTCGCTTGAATTCAAATTGACGACCGTTAGTTTGCATCTCTGCATAGTCCCCAACATTTCAAGTGCTTGTATGATGGGCGAGCGGTTATTCTCGCATCCTTGTAAATACAATGGAGCTTAGGATCAGGACTTTAGTGGAAAGCAGCAAGACACCTCTTGACGGCAGAAGATGTTTTGCTGGCTCTCGTTCTTGGCATACCGTGCACACTGAGAGAGGAAGAGTCCAAGATCAGAGCGACAAAGAGGATGGGTAAGGTAATGGGACTGTATTCAATTCTTTTCCGATGCCGCTTATGGCGGTGTCGGATAACCAGGGTAACTACGAAGCATGTCTGTTCCTGGATAGTCTGTGTCTCTCAAACAGAGGATCGATAACACAGTGGAAGGTAAAGGGGGCTACATAGGTGAAAAGAGCGCATTGTTGTAAGGGGCTACGCCCCGATGTGTAGATCTGGCATGGCCAGACTAGTCACGTGCGAGCGCCACGGACACGACTCCTAAAGGGAGCGATGTAGACACGTCTCCCCTTTACACTCTTTGTAGCTCAATTTACATCAATTACGCCCAGCACCTGTGCCAACAGTGCTGACCCAGTAACATATTGAGCTACCAGTTAACAAAAGACAGGACAGACAGAAGGACAGACAGCAGGACAGACAGCAGGACAGACAGCAGGACAGACAGCAGGACAGACAGCAGGACAGTCAGCAGGACAGACAGCAAGACAGGCGATAGGCTAAACGACGAGACGGACGATCGATCGGACGACGAGACGGACGAACAAGATGGAGGACAATAGTAGTTATGCAGGGGCACCGCGACCGGCGGCGCAACGAGCCGATGGAGGGAAGGAGCAAGAGCTCTTGCAGATCTTATCTGGGATCGCGGGAGACGAAGAACTGCGGAAGATGTTCACCGGGCTAGGCCTAGCAGCGCCACCGTTGACACCCAGCCCGGGGGTGCTCAGTACCCCGGCGATCTTACCCGTCGAACCGAGGCCGGAAGCAGCCCAGGAAATGGACCGTGGCAAGAAGCGCAAGCCGATGACTTGGCCGAAGTGGAACGGTCAACCGAGTCCTTCCACTTCTACCTCGACCGTCTGGTATTTAAGTACAATACCGACGAAGAGGAGGCCTAAACGGCAATAACAACGTCGTGTGGTACGAGATCCTGCAGACCTTGCCGGATCAGATGATGAGGAGAGTCGAGGGTTTTTGGAGGCAAGAGAGCGCGAAGGGCAACCCAGACCCCCGGAAATTCTTCTCGCACCTAGCCCAGACGTTCGGCAGCGTGCAGCAGACAGAGAGGGCGCAGGACAGGCTGCGCACCTCATTCAACGAGACAGCCAAGAGTTTGGGAAGTTCCTCCTGAATTCGAGGAAACATTGACCAAAGCGGGCGGCGCGAGCTGGGATAATGCTTCCAAGCTCGCATGGCTACGGAACTCGATCTCTCCTGCTCTCCGTGAGCAACTAGTCCCGGTTATCATGCCGAAGGACTACAACGAGTACATCCAACGTCTACACCCGATTGCTTGGGCGTTCGAGCACACCGCGAAGTTTAAGGCGTTGCAGAGGAAGCAGGGCTCCGCGGGCAACGTGACCAAGGGCAGGCATCAGGCATCGGCAACATCCAGGTCGCCGGTAACGACAACACCCCGGCACCGTCAGCAACGTTACCCGCCGAGCAGAACGCACGTGACGCACGCGACCATGACGGCGACGTAATAATGACGGTTACACGCACTCAGGGCAGGGTCAGAGAGGACGGGCGAACGGCCAGGGGTCAAGTGGAACGAGCAAGACGGTTCGCTTCCAGCCTAGGTCAGGACGGAAGCAACGGGCGAGGTGGGTATCCGAGGACGAACGGAATAAACGCCGTGACGAGGGTCGTTGTCTCCGCTGCGGCGACAACACCCATTTCATTGCCGCTTGCCCCTACTCGCCAGGACAGGACCCTAGCCGGTCGAGGGATGTAAAGTCCGCACCGCTAGGATCATGCCCTTGCTGGAAGATGATGGTAACGACTCTAGTGAGGAAGAGTCAGGACTTAGCGAGACCCCATCCTCTCGGAAATGCGTAGCCTCGAAACAAAGACGGGTCTCGAGGCCAAAGAACGGAGCAGTGGCAAAAGAAGAGAAGTTCTCAGGAAAATGGAAGTTGGTCCTACAATAATTCGAAGCATTATCAATAGGACCAATCTCTTCTCCTCACTCGTAGACGAGGGATGCCAGTGCTACGCCGCGGTTGACGAAGAAGTCGTCGAAAGTTGGAAGTTCCTATAGTGGAAATAGCACCGCGAGCTATTACAGGAGCATCAGGGGCAATGGAAGGAGCAACGATTAGGGCCTCGTATGGCTATCAATGGAGGTCAACGGCCACATACAGACGATCTGTGCCTACGTGGTGCCCTGATTGGAATTCCCTAATCCTAGGAAAACCCTGGTTATGCCACACAAAGTCGTACTCAGTGCCCCACGAGAAACGACTATGGCATGAACCTACACAAGACTGGGTAGATCACCTCGGGAAGGAGAATATTCTGCGAAAGCCAAGGAGTTCGAAGAAGCAAAGCACGTACTAGCCAGTACCTTTGTGGGTTACTTTGAAAGGATCCGCAAGCAGGAAGGAAGAGAGGCAGCTGCCACGGCGATTTTCGCTATCAGCATGAAGGATATCGAAAGGGCGTTATCACCAAAGAAACCCATGTCAGAAGCAGAGCTACGCCGAACGATACCCCAGCGGTTCCACGATTTACTGCCTCTATTTATGAAGAAGGAAGCTGATAAGCTGAATCCTCATAAGCCAGGCATAGACCACGAAATCAGAATCAAGGAGGACCCGAATGGCCAGCAGTTACCACTACCGTATGGAGCACTATACGGTATGTCACGAGAGGAACTCCTGGTTCTTAAGAAGACTCTACGAGACCTAGTGGATAAAGGATTTATCCGTGCAAGCAGTTCAGAAGCAGCAGCTCCAGTCCTGTTTGTGAGGAAACCAGGTGGCGGGCTGCGATTCTGTTGTGACTACAGAGCGTTGAACGCAATCACTAAGTCGGACCGTTACCCCTTCCTCTAATAGGGACACACTTCGCAACCTAAAAGATGCGAAGTGGTTCACTAAGGTCGACGTGGTACAAGCGTTCCATAAAGTACGGGTTGCAGAAGGAGACGAGTGGAAGACAGCGTTCCGCACCCGGTACGGTCTCTTCGAATGGATGGTTACCCCGTTCGGGCTAAGTGGCGCGCCAGCAACCTTCCAGCGGTATATTAACGGTATCCTACGAGACTACCTCGACGAGTTCGCCTCTGCTTATATGGACGATATACTTATCTATTCGAGCGGGAGCAGAGAAGACCATTTCCGGAAGGTACGGTTAGTTTTAGAACGCCTCGCCGAGCATGGACTACACCTAGACCCGGAGAAATGCGAATTTGGAGTCAAGCGGATTAAGTACCTAGGATTCATTATTCACGCAGGAATTGGCATTCAGGCAGATCCCGACAAGATACGAGCAATAGTCGAGTGGGCAGTCCCCGTTACCCAGAAGGGGGTGCGCAGTTTTCTAGGATTCGTTAACTACTACCGGATATTTATACCGCAAGCCTCGGAAATAACTGCACCCCTAACAGCACTAACAGGAAAGGGGACTAAGTTCAAGTGGACGGACGAGCACGATATGGCGTTCCAGACACTAAAGACGCTATTTACGAACGCCCTATTCTTACTCAATGGGATTTCGAGAGGCCAACCTTCGTAGAAGCAGACTGTAGCGGCTGGGCGCTTGGGGCACACTTACGCAGGAAGTCGACGGACAACGCAAGCCAGTAGCGTTCCACTCGCAGAAGCTATCACCGGCTGAGCGCAACTACCCAATCCATGATAAGGAAATGCTCGCTATTATTCGTTGTCTCGAACAATGGTCAGCCGAGCTACGAAGCTGTGATAACTTCGTTATCCTTACCGACCATAAGAACCTCGAGTATTTCATGACGCGCCAACAGCTCTCGGAAAGGCAGGCACGTTGGGCTGAATATCTCTCGCGTTTTAACTTCCAGCTCCAGTACCGTCCGGGACGGGAAGCAGTGGTGCCAGACGCGCTCTCGCCGCGAACAGGACCGACCAAACGAAGCGGATCACGAAGCACGAGATATGCAGCTTATTCCAGAAGCAGCCCTACGTACCTACGTCGGAGTAACGTCGACTCAAGCGGGAGAAGGCGAAGAAGAACACACGGTTTTCCACGACCCAGAGCTACAACAATTATGGCAGCAAACGGCAAACCAGGATCCAGTCTTTACAAGCGTTTATAACGCGGTACGAAACGGATCTCGGTCCTCGACCCCAAGCTTAAGCTGAAGGTACAAGTCGCCGAGTGCTTTATTGATCCTCGGGGCACCTACGACTACGTGGCCGCTTATTGGTGCCAGGCGCACCGATCACGACAGAAGCAGCAGCCAAGGCAGCACCGCTAGAGCAGGAGTCGCTAAACGAATTACGGGCTCCTTAATCCAGAAGGTTCATGACTCCCATGTAGTAGGCCACCCGGGACGGAAGGGACGATAGAAGCCGTATCCAGGGACTTCTACTGGCCGCTAATGCAACAGCATATCCGACGTTTCTTGCGTAACTGCGATGTCTGCGGCCGTACGAAGATATGGCGCGAGCATAAAGGGGTCTACTTAGACCGCTACCCGTACCGGACCGCTTCTTCCGCCAGATACAGATGGACTTTATTACGGACCTCCCCTTGCGAACGGTAACCGCTGCCTCTGGGTTATCAAGGACCGGCTAAGTAAGGAAGTTATACTCGAACCGATGCCAACGATGGAAGCGGAAGCATGTGCAGAGCGTTTTCTATGGTGCTTCGCCCGCTACCACTGGTGGCCCGACGCTATAACGAGCGATAGGGGCTCGAATTGGGTAGGCCGCTTTTGGAGGCACATGTGCAAGTTACTGGGGATCGACCAGCAGCTAAGCACGGCGTACCACCCCCAAACCGACGGAGGCCCTGAGAGGATGAACCAAGAAGTACAGGCATACCTCCGCGCCGTGATTAACCAGAACCAGAACGACTGGGATAAGTGGGTTCCCGCGGCTCAGATGGCGTTAAACGGTCGGGTCAATACCTCTATAGGGATGTCCCCATTCTTCGCTATACACGGCTATGAGCCGAAGTCACCAGTTCCCCTCGTTACGGAAGCATATGCGGAAGAGTATCCTCAGCATTCGCCAGAAACCAGGGCAAAGAAATTTGTTACCAAACTACAACAGATTACGGACCTCTGCCAAGCATCAATGGCGACAGCTACGCAGCAACAAGAACGCTTCGCTAACAGACGACGGAACGCGGCAGAACGCTTCGAAGTAGGCGATAAGGTTTGGCTTGACTTACGGAACTACGCGTCAGAGCGACCTAAGAAGAAGTTCGACTGGCTGCACGCTAAGTATACGATAAGCAAGGTACTCGACCCGTACACGGTTGAACTAGCAGACCTCCCGAGGGCTGCTATAATAGGTTCCACGTCGACCAACTCCGGAGAGCGGGGACGGACCCAATGCCTGGTCAGCAACGCACAGACGCTCAACCCCCATCTATCCAAGTAGACGGGGAGGCTCACCAAGTAGTAGAGGAAATACTATGCGCTAGGTGGAAGAGAACCGGCCGCGGCCGTAGGCGGGAAGTCCTTGTACGCTGGCAAGGTTGGCAAGACCCGACCTGGACCTCTTTAGACAATATGCAACAGACAGCGGCCTTGGATAAGTACGAACAGAGATACGGCCCGGCTCTCGAAAACGATGGACCATACCAGCACCGACGAGTGGCAACGGAAGCACAGCCGGCCCAAATCCAGGGGCAAGTCGAAGGAATACAACCACAGCTGCAGATACAGGGCAAGAGAATACGCGGACCACTACGGGCTAGGACTAATGGCGACGCCCCGTCGATAGTAACGGCACCAGACCCTATAGACGACGGCCCTACGATCGTTGTAGGGGACCAGGAACAGGAAAAGGGCACCAGCGCCAGAGAGGAGTAGGGGCTAATGTGGGGCTACGCCCCGATGTGTAGATCTGGCATGGCCAGACTAGTCACGTGCGAGCGCCACGGACACGACTCCTAAAGGGAGCGATGTAGACACGTCTCCCCTTTACACTCTTTGTAGCTCAATTTACATCAATTACGCCCAGCACCTGTAGTAGTAGTAGTAGTAGTAGTATTGATTACCGTCTGGGACATCCCTATAAGGGCAAAAGACGTGCTAGGCTAGAGAAGACTAGATACATAGAATATCCCGAGTACCTGGACTAAGGACCGTGTGTAGCACCTAACCACTCCATCTAGCAATTCTGAGGCTCTGAGGCCGGTCGGAAATTCAGCCCTTCCCCGTCAGCGGGTTCCAGGCACGGCAGTGAAGCCGTAATAGTAGTCAGTCTTTGGCCGAGGCCGGGTGACTGAGAAAGCCCACGAAGTCATGGGCCGGCCGCAAGCCCTCGAGGAGGGCCTACGGGGCAGAAAGAAAAAGAAAAGGAAAAGGAAGCAGAGAGTGTAGCAATGTTAGTCGGGGGTTCGCCCCGATGGCGATTGTCTTCTCCCGCAGGAGCGTTCGATCCGGGACCACTTCGTGGTCATGACAGTTGGCGGAGTCCCCGTGCCTGCTCCTCGTAGCAAGCAGGTGGTAGAGGTCTTGTCGATTGGTGTGCGGCTCCGGGGGGCACCCGGGTGAGGCCTTGAGCTCTAGGCTCTTGTAGCTCCTCGGGGCCCCGCGGCCCACCAGTCCAGAGGAAGTCGTGGCCGCTGGGCGGCAGATGGAGTCAGGGCCGCAAGGCGGCAGAAGGCGAGGCCAGCCAGTAAAGGCGGCAGAGGGTGCGAGGCAGCGCGAGGTGTGCCTGGAAGGGCGAGAAGAAGTCGGGCCGCGAGGCGGCAGAAGAAGTCGGGCCGCGAGGCGGCAGAAGAAGTCAGGGCCGCGAGGCGGCAGCAGAGGTCGGGGCCGCGAGGCGGCAGAAGTCGAGGCCAGCCAGTAAAGGCGGCAGAAGAAGGCGATGCCGCGAGGCGGCAGAAGAAGGCGATGCCGCGAGGCGGCAGAAGGCGAGGCAGCGCGAGGCATGCCGTTATTCGAGACCAGCTTCCCAAGAGGAGACGAACTCTCCAAAGTCTGCCTTTTGGTGCTTGCTAGAGCCCCGTTAGGGCTAGAGAGGCAGAAGCATGGTCGGGTGACCTGAAAATAATTATCCACTAACAGGCTGCTAACAGCCCGCAGAAGAGAAGAATTTTTACAGGGGAGAGTTGACGCCCAGCACCTGTGCCAACAGTGCTGACCCCGTAACAGTGGGGACCTGCAACCGCGCTTATACAAGTCATAGGACAATACGTCAAGTGGCTTTTCTTATTATTCTTCAAGTACGTTAGTCGGCCTATCGGCTCTAGTTCCCCTAATTTAATTAGGAGGAAACCCTGTAAGCTGCAGTCTCGTCGTCTTCAGACCGCGGTCGATCCATACACGCGGCCTAGTGCAGGGCGGACTCCCTCGGGGTAGGGGCCCGGCGGTGGCGCGCGTGCGCGGCGCCCTCGGAGCGGTCCTGGAACCTTTCTTCCCGCGAGGCGTACCGTCTCCCGGGACAGCACTCCGCAAGTGATGAAGCAGCCAACGCGGAAGCCAGGGAGGCTTGTCCCGGGGAGAAGGCACCTGTCAAGATATTCATCACGGATGCGGCTCCTCGTGCAGTTCCAGTACAAACACAAAAGGTAAGTGTTAAACTGGTAAAATACCGCTGCACCATGCAAAATAGGGTACCCCCATTAGAGGTGTTACCAACGCGTATTATAAGTCCTTTATCTGATCTGACGGTAAGATCCCCAAGCAAGCACTCGGCTGTGCAAATACGCCATTGCTTACGCTAACTTACCCGCGCCAGAGCAAGTAAAGCCGGAACTGAAAGCGGTCTGCGAGAAAATCGAAAAGACAGTTGCCTGAGACGAAAGCATTGGTGGAAAAGGCAAGGGAGCGCCCTACTGGCCATGCTTTTACAACGAAGCGTCAAGAAACTAATGGTTGCCGTACTGAAAATGGCCTATAGGCAAGAGCCCATGCGCCCGACTCAAGAAAATGTTGGAGCAGCAGCCGCCCTGCGACGGAATCAAAAGCTCGTGGTCATATTCAAGCTATCGAATGACTATTGCTCGGGAACTTACTATATCCTCTATGTCGGCTTCTTCTCAACCGACCGACTCAGCGAGCGTCTTGCGCGATCCCAAGACAGGAAGCAGCAGCTCATCACATACGAATCCTCGCCTGTGTCGTATATGGAGCAAGAAGTTGATCTCAACAAGTGCCTTGGATCGGAATATGTTACCCTTCGCAGTATCAGTCACGTCGGCCTTGTCGATTATAGGAAATATGTATGGGATCAAGGGAGACTGGTGGAAGTTTCAAGGTATATCGCTGCGCAATCAATTCTACGGTCTCGGAGTTGAAGAACTTCCCCCGCCTTAGGCATAGCGTTGACAGGACAGTGCGCTGAGACGTCGAAATGGAACTACGAGAACTTCCACTTCGGAAGCCAAGCAGGCCCCTACTACGAGTTACCTTTGCTTTTCTTTCCGCCGGAGTTTACTGTGGTGGTCCGTAAGCTCTGCCCTTGAAGATGGCCCCTTGGCTGACCCGTCGTCAACAAATGCTAGGCAATCCTGGACCAGATCGCGTCGCCATCAACAGGAACCACGAAGTATTCGGGCAAATCACCCATACCGGCGCCGCTGGCAATGGTTTCGTCGGCTGCACAGGCGCAATCCCGATGCCCGACCGTAGACTCGCCGGAAATCCAAGGCGCTGCGGAGGCGTGGATCGGATCTGAGGCTTTAGTGGTGTCAAGTTCCGGTAATTTATGACATCAGTATTTTAGGCAAGACGGGTAGAAAAAGGCTTGGCTGCATCGGCCAACTTAGTTTTACTGTACGAGCGGCCACCATGGACAATGTGGGACGTTGCGGATCAGACAAATGCTTGGTATTATGAAAGCTCCACCTCGCCAAGGTTGGTTCTGGAACTCGTTCAGTATTTCCGGTCAGAATCTTCCACGCCTGCCATCTCGGTGCCGTATCTCGAGCAGCCAAGTCTGTTACGTACAGGTGTCGCTTTCGCAGTTGCGGCTTTTTACTCTCCAAATCCAACGTCTGTTGCTATGGCCCCCTGATGTATTTGGGATCAACCCGTTTTTGACAGTGCCTCTGCTTTACCTCGCTCCCAGGGCGGCGGTAGCTTTAATGAGGCAATGAGGGTGAGGTGCCAAGTGGCCTCTCGTTGGAGACAAACATGCAGTTTGTTTACTTCACTTATCTTGAGCAGTCACCTGAAAAGCGCCGGGATGTTCACAAATGCATCGTTTCCACAAAACTTGGCCCTATCTCATCCACTGCATTCGCATAGAGGTGATGGGAAAACCCAGGTGATGGGAAAACCCCGTGGGAAAACCATCACCGCGGACCTGGAACCTCCCTCCAACGCGATCTCACAACCACAAATTCCTGTCCGCAGATCGATTCACCTTGAACGTAGCCAGCAAGTGCTTGTCCCAAGCCCCACCGCCGTCAATTGAACACCCTGTCAGTCGGAGCCATGCGAGGCACCTCCTCGGCTCCGTAGGACCTTGAGCGCCGCGGTGAGACTCTCAATCTCGCGGTTCAGCGTCGACCGCTGATGCCTCGACTCCTCGTCCTCGCCGGCAATCATGTTCAGCTGCTCGTCGTCGAGCCTCATGATCATCTCAGGCCCAAACGCCTTGACGGGGCTCTGGTCGCCGTTGAGCAGAAAGTGCGAAATCACCTGTTGGTAGATGACGTCGACGAAGCGCTTGCGGGCCACTTTGTAGTAGCTCACAAAGGTATCGAGGATGTCCTCGCACAGCTGCTGCTCGTTGTCCTTGTTGGTGGCGGCATTCTCGATTTGATCGAGGGGAATACACTGGCCACAGAATCCGTCCTCCATTCCCTCATCCAAGTGGATAGATAAATTTTCCAGAGAGCGAGCCACCCGCTCGGCGCGCTTCTTTTGGACGATGTCGTTGAAATAGTGGTTGAACGTTGTAGGGCGTCCGCGCTCAATCTTCAGGAGAAACCGGGCATGCTCCATGGCCTTGCGGTACAGCTCACTCAGCTCTTCCACAAGATATCCATCCCATATCTGGTCTCGGATATGCTTCTCCGGGCATAGGTGGCGGAGGAGTCGAAAGACATAGTTGTGCACCACTGCGATTGGGTTGCTCACGTGGGACAAGGACAGAGCCTCCCACTTGGCTGATTGCTCTTCAAAGACGGTTGACAGAACAGTCCCCCCAAACTGCAAAGGTACGTCAGTAACGGCCACAGCATCCCAAGACACCGTCAGGATAGGCTCACCGTTCCGAGGTCCGGCCCGCGGCTGGAGTCATAAACATTTCTGATGAGGTCCATGATAGGCTTGTCCTCTGGCATAGCGCATTCTGAATCTTGGATGAAAACAATGTCATCGAGCTCCCGGTATTGGTCAAGTGGGATCGCAAAGGGGATCGTGGTGTCCTTTTTGGTCAGTTTCCCTTCCTCGTCCAGGGCCCCGTCAAACTGCCGCATGTGGGCGCGCTGGCCAAAGTCCTTGGAAAAGATGTTGTGCAGGTTGATGACTCGCGTGATGAGCTTCAGCTGCGGATCGTCCTTGAACAGCTTCTCCCCGGCGTAGTATCCGTTGAGCGCTGCATGGGTCACAGTCTGGAACTGGCTCGCAAGCCTGCCGAGGAACTGCCTCTGCGAGCTCTCGTCGGACCGCGGGGGCCCCATGGCCTCGAGGTCCGCCCTGCTCCGCCGCAGCCGCTGGTCAATGTCATTCTTGACGTTCGGGATCTCCTGCTTGGAGATGGCCATGAGCAGGTTCCGCAGCCGGCCCTTGAGTGTAGCAACACCGCACCGCTCGCGGATCGTCACCCACGGCTGGTTGGCGAAGAAGGCCTTCTCTGCCGCGGCGCGCTTGGCCTGCGTCCAGTCGCCGCTGGTGTCGTCGGCGCCACGATTCTTCACGACGTAGTATCCGAGCTTGAGGTTGCTGCGCTTGCCGAGGACGAGGTCAACGACGGCCTTTTGTGTGGCCGCCTCGGTCGCCAGGTCGGGCTTTGTCAGGACGCCCATGGTGCGCACACCGTCCGGGTCGGCCTTTTCGGCGAGCTGCACGATTTCTTGCGTGGCAATATCCACGTTGCATGGTATGACGGCGAGGATTCTATCGAGGGTTAGCTTATGCCGTGGTTCGTGGCTCAGGATGAAGATGAATGACTGACATGGTCCTGGAATCGTTCATGTATCGCTTGACCATGTTTTCAACGAGCACAATGTCCGTTTCAGTCGTGAGACCTGGCGTTGGCACTCGAAAGATGCCGGGCACGTCGATGACGGTGAGATGGTTTTGCTATCGCCAGTCAGCCAGCTTGACAGTTCTTTGACAGTGATGGAGACTCACATCTGGCCCATAGATTTCGATCTTGAGGATATCCTCGCTAAACGCTCCACAGCCCGACTCATCCTCATCGTCGCCCATCCGAATGTCCATGGCAGTATTGGCCTAGAGAGTAACGAACCAAGTCAACCAGCACGAACATCAAAATCTTTGCAGTCAGCTCCATGGACAAACAGACCTCCTCAAAGATGCCGGCAAGCTCATCATTTTCCAGGTCTCCCAGTGCTCGCTGGAACCCAAGAAGCTCTGCCTTAAGTTCCTCGCTCGCATCAGGCCGCGGGATGATGGAAATTGAAACGCTCCTGAGCGGATCTCGACAACAGGTAATCTGCGTCGCGTACCGCGTGCAGAGCCCTGCGGCGCGCGGAAACGAGAAGCCTGTCAGGTTCTCGAGCACGGAGCTTTTGCCAGAAGACTGGTCGCCCACGACGACGAGCTGCGGCAGCGGAATCATGGAGCCGACATTCAGCTCACGCAGCTTGTCAATCTTCGCCAGAATGGCCTGGTTCCCAAGTCCCACCTCCATGGCGGCGACGAAGAACTGAAGTTTGCTCAGGGTTGCTTGGCTGTATTTACATTCAAGACGGGACATGAGCGTGTGCAACAGGTTAGGCATGAGGTGGTGGCGGTTTCAGACGAAAGGTTGTGGCGTTGGCAGGATCAAAGAAGAGAAGGAGCCCAAGAAGACAAAGTTCCATGTTTATATTGCTACAGCTGCCAGCCGATCCAAAAGCCCGTGCTTTCAACGCGCGTTTGCTCGAATACTCGCCCTGCCCGTGTTCGCTGGTTGCTAGGCGTCATCAACGGCTGGGAGCATATGCAACCGCTCGAGCCCGGTGCCATCGTTTGCCATTCACTCGGGCCTGCCAAACAAGCTCAGGCTCTTCACCGCTCGTGTCACTGACCATGCAGTTGCTGGGCCTGAGTCGAAGGGGTTCTGGATTTTCGGGAAGCTTCACTGTCAAGGCGGCTGACGGTGTTGAACAAGGGGCACCCAAACGCGGCCTCTGATTCCGATTGCTTCAGCCAACTGGAGAGTGAATCAACGGCCCCACAGCGGTGACCATGGGCAACTGCGTCTCCGGGTCCGGTCGTTATAAAGAGACTGGCAAAGCAAACGACTCTTTCATAGCCCCACACAATCCATGTGCCACTTTGAAGCGAACGACCTTTTGTGAAGTCAATCAGGTCTTGGCACAGGCCCCGGCTCTCGGGCAGTATTCAAACAGACCTCTTGATTCTATTGCGCTTCGTGTCATGCTAGGCCTTCGCGACCATGCATCCGCCAACAAAGCTCTCAAGGGCCTCTAATCATCAGGAGTCAGGCATCGGCAAAGCGCCTCTTCTCGCAGGCTAATCGTCGTCGAGACCATACTCGGCATCCATATCGGGGTTATCGTAATCCTCGTATCCCCCTTCAAACTCGCCTCCGCCCCCGCCAAACTCTTCCCCTCCACCATACTCTGGCTCCTCGTAGTCGTGCTCTACCTCGTCATCCTGCCCCTGCTCCTCCGGCTGACCCTCGGCCGGCTCCTCGTTTTCATCGTCGTCATCGGCGCCGCCGAGGGTGCTGCCGGCCACGCTGGTCTTGCGGCTCGTCGCCGCCGAGCCGAGGCCGTTGGCGTCGGGGACCTCAAAGATGCTGCGGATGGCGTCGTAGTTGATCCTCTTGGACCACGCCCTGTCCTTGGCCACGTTGATGGCCGCCTCGGCCGCCGAGCTGGCCGGGCTCGTCTGTCCCTCGCCCATCCTCGCCCGCTTTCGTCTGCGGCGCGTCTGCTTGGGGCGGTCGGCCTCCATCTTTCTCCGAAACACCTTTTCCTGGTGCTTGCGCAGCCAGTCCTTGTTCTGGTTGACCCAGATGAGCTCCTTGATGCGGGCCTCTTCCGGCGACAGCAGGCAGTTGAGCACCTCGAGGTCGTCCGCAAACTCGTCTTCTCCAATATCAGCCGACATGGACACTTCCTTTTGGGGCTTCTGCTTGAGAGCCCAGGTCGTGTGTATCCTGGCCCGCTGCTCGGCGTTTGAGTATGCGAGGGCGTGCTCGTAGGTGAGGGGGTCGTTGAACATTTCCTCAATCTGGCCCTCGAGTTCCTGCTCGTCCTGCTCCCATTCTTCATTGATGGGGAGCTGGGGCGGGGCGGGACGGTTGCCTCTATCGGCGCTATGTGCGTCGAGCCCGTCGTCGAGGGCATCGCCAAACTCGCTGACCAGGCGATCCAGGCTCTCCTCGCCGTTGTCATCTCCTTTCTTGTCGGCCTCGGCGTCGCGACTGTCTTGTTGGATCTGGGACGGGAGCGGGGGGATAATGAAGCCATCGGCGTCGCGTCGAAACTTGATTGCGGGAGCCTTGGAGAGGTCTGCGCCGGGTTCGGGGGCCCTTCGCTGGCGCTTGGCTGGTTCAGCCTCGTCGCGTGCTGTTGCCTGCTGGGCGTCCTTGTCTTTTGCACCATCCTGGCCCGCGTCTCCCTCTCCCTCGTCGTCGTTGTCCCCGTCATTGTCCTCGCCGTCGGCTTTGCGCTTCCGCTTCCGCAACTTGTCCTCCATCATTTGCTGATACTCTTCCGACTGGCGGTAAAAGGCCGGGGGGTCGTGGGAGCTCTCAAGAAAGTCCTGCTTGAGAAAGTCCTCGACGGACATTTTACTGGACTCGGTAAAGTTGAACTCTTGAAGGCGGTTCTGAATGGTGTGGTTGGTGACCTTGACAATGTAGACGACCTCGCGGACGGTGCGGCGAAAGTTGTGCATGCGGGCGGCCATGAGCAGACAGGCACCGCAGATACCCGAGGGGCGGCGGCCCATGACCATCCAGTCGCGGCTCATGCGCTTGACGAGGCGGACGGCATCCTCTGCGACCTTTGCCGTGTCCTGGTGAAACTCCATCTTTGTGGCGAAGCGCCAGATGAGGTCCTCGGGGTAGACGGGGATAAGGCCGTCGTTGCCGATGGGGACCACCTCATTGAGCTTCTTGAAGATGCGGCCAAGCTTGAAGACATTGAGCTGGACGAGGTCTGCAAGGTCGATGAGCATGACCTTGCAGGGGGGCTGGGCACGGCAGGCGGCGTAGAGGCAGACGGCGGCGACGCTGGCGAGGGTGCGGCCCTGGATAAAGTTTGCGCTCGAGGCGAGCTTGAAGACCTGGGTGCCAGCGGTGACGAGGCTGTCGCTGACGCTGAGCTGCTGGGCGTAGCCCTGCATGAGGCCGCGGGCCTCGCGGACGCTCTTCTCGCGGTCCTCGGAGCCGCCGACCCTCCTGAAGGCGGGGCCCATGCTCCGGACGCCGGCCTGGTCGGCGCCGACAAAGGAGCCCTGAACAATGGCGGCGCCCGACGACGTCTCGCCGAACTGCACCTCAGCGACAATGTTGCTGTCGTCGGCGACACGACCGCAGGTCTGGCAGGTGCCGTCGACGACGTTGGGCTTGGGACAGGCCTTGTTGGGACACTGCTGGCGGGCGGGGGCTGTGACGGCGCCGTTGCGGTTGGCCGAGGCCGACGAGGTGTGCGACTGCTGGGCAGCGACGGCGGCCTGGCGACGCTCCTCGCGCTCACGCATGGCGCGGACGGGGTTCGGGCGGGCGAAGCGCGGCTTGAGGCCGCCGGCCTGCGAAGGCCTCTTGGCGGGCGTGAGGGACGACATTGGGGCTATTTGGCAAGGATCATGAGTCGCCAGGGTAAGTCGGTCACGGGCGAGGCGATGGCGACAATGGCGACAATGGCGACAATGAGCGAGTGGTCTAAATGAAGGGATAACGAGTGAGCATTTGCGTTGTAGGTGATCTCTTCATTCGCGGGTCAAGGAAAAAATCACAGCTCTGGATCTCAGGATGGCACCAGCCAAAGTCTCGCATTAGGGGCTGGCTGAGTGACGACTTAAGCGGCGAAAGACGCCAAAGACCAGCGACGAGAGCCTCTTGCTGCTCTACTTAGACGGTTGATGGAGATAGAGTGGCGGAGACGCAGGTTTGGAGGAGAAGAAAACGCGAGGGCAAAATGGTCGGTTTCGTGGTGGATGTCGAGCCCGGTGGCCGAGTGGGGGAGGGGAAGGAGGAAGCCAGCCACGCCCCCCCGCGCCCCTGCCTTTGCTGGTTTAGAGACACCCGCGGCTGACTCATCCGCCGAATCTGGACGCCTAGGGCTCAGGGATGGTTCAAGTTCGAATCCTGCTGGAAGCCATAGTTAACTTATTGGTCGTTGCACTTATTACTGTATGCACAGTATGGAGCGGAGCATCTCCCGTCGTCTGCAATGCGATCGCTCTCCAGCATAAAGTTACATGTCCAATTTGAAGCATGTAGCTATTGAATCAGGCAAAAGCTATTCATCTGGCAGATATAACCGAGGCCTCTCTTTCCCCGCCTTCATTTCTCGCATCATCACCACCATCATCACCACCACCACCATCAGCAGCATGCAATCCTCCACATTCACCATCGCCGCCGAGCCTAGCACGGACATTTGGAAGAAACCCCCTTCGCACAACGTCTTTAACGGTCCGTCACCCGCGGTTGTGCCTCTCCTTTTTGCTCATCAATGCCGTCATCTTCTGTGACTATGCCACCGCCAGCTCTTCTTCTTCCTCCCAGCCCAGACGCAAGGCTCAAGGGCAGAACACACTTGGCTAACAAGAGTCAAACAGCCCCCTTCCGCGCCCACTCCAAGCGCCCAACATCGTCCTTCCTCTCCGCAACCCTGACCTTCTCCGCCCTCTACACGCTGCAGTACGATCAAGCCGGCATCCTCCTCATCTTCACCAACAAGCACGAACCCTCGGCCCGCAAGTGGATCAAGGCCGGCATCGAGCTCTTCGACGGCCTTCCCCGGCTCAGCACCGTCTGCTGCGACGCCTGGGCCGACTGGAGCGTCGCCCCTGCCCCAGACGAGAGCGCCGTCGCCGCCGGCCGTCGCCCCGTTACCCTGCGCATCGAGACGCACCGTGGGTCCAGCGGGACCTCGCTCTGGGTATACCACGTCGACGATGCTGGCAGCCAAGCGAAGAAGAACCCCATGCGTGAGGTTTGCTGGCCCTTTGGCGAGTCTGCGTCCGACGGGTGGGAGCTCGAAGTGGCAGCCGCCGTTGCTCGCCCGGCCAAGGATGCAAAGGACAAGCTCGAGGCCAGGTTTGACGGCTTTGACGTCCAGTGGGAATGAAAGTCGACTGCCTTTCGTATTCCTTGTCCATGTCGATGCCATCCTCTCTGTCCGCTCTTTGCCGTCTACATTATGTAGTTGTCAAGGGTGAAAGAACGCAATGCGCACCAACAATGCAATTATTGGGGCATGTTCGACCTTGACCTGGCTTGGAAAGTTCAACAGTAGTGTAGTCTCACCTACTGCTTGGACTCCTCTCCTCGTCCTCACAGATCACGACTCACAGTGCATGTCTACAGCTCTCCCTAAGCACAACGCACAAGAGCGTCTTGAGGTGGCCATAATCCTCATTAAACTCGACCCCGTCGCTGTTCTTGCCGGGAGGATCACACGCGATCCTTGATGAAAGGCAATGAACCACTGCAGTATCTGGCTCTTTACATAAAAACCAGGCAGTACGTCCGTCCTGTCAGTCTGAATAGGGCCCGCCGAGAGATACGACACAAAACAGGCTGCATGTTAAAAGCCCTTGTCTCTCCTCACACGATGTTCTCTTCCTGAAACTTGACCTGCAAAAAGCGCAACATCCAGTCCCGGGAATAAAAACGCCAGAGGAAAAGAACCCGTGCGCAATGCTTGACACGGCACAGAGTAGATATTCGCAACCAGGCGAAGTAGAGAACCAGCCCTTTGCAGAGGCGCAAAGGTAAAGAAAAGATGAACAAAAAGGGGGTGAGCGGAGGACTGCGGCTCGTGTACTGCGGGAATCAAGTTCCTCTCAGCTCGCAGACTCATCAAATGTCATCATTCGGCCACATCGCAGGAAGCAAAGCAGCAGGTCCCAGCACATAAAGAGCAAACTCCAGCCCGGAACAAGTCAATTTGATGAGTAGAGCATGAGGGGGGTGATCCCGTGCCGCCTGGAACTCGAAGCCCTCTCGAAAATCACTCGACTCCATTTTTTTCCCTTTTTCTGGAATTCGGCTTTTTCCTTGGTTATCCAATTCACTCTTTCCAAACAAGCTCATTCTGTGCGCACAAGGGGTGGGAGACGTGGTGGCTGTTGCTTGACGCGCATGCAATCCCCCATTTCAGACGGTCCTCGGCGTGCGAGCATTCGTCGCGTCAATGACGTCGTCGAGATGGTTGCACATGGCGACAAACAGGTCAAAAAATAACTTGCTGCCACCGGCCTCCATCTCAGCCTGCATGGTGCCGCTGCGCTTAAACGTCCTGCGGCAGCGGATAATCAGGGCGAGGTAATGAGCGCGCAGGCGGCTGTCCGAGTCGGGCGTGTGAGCATAGGCGTACTGGGCGGACCGCAGAATGGTGCCGACATCGATGCCGGCCTGCAGCCCCTGCTTGCGAAGGGCCAGACGCTTGAGCTCGTCGAGGTCGTACCGATCGGCGGCACAGTAGATGACGGTGTCGCGGAGGACGGCAGCCTCGATGCTCGACAGGTAGACAATGGCCTCGCCGGCGCGGCCACCTCCGGTTTCTGGGTTGGGCGAGGTCTGGGGCGTTCGCTGGCGGTCCTCGAGCTCCCAAGAGTTGCGGTGCCTGTTGTGCAACAGGCGAGGGTAGTAGTCTCCCTTGTAGAGGTACTCGAGGACGGCCGAGAAGACCTCGGGGTCCTCGTCGGGGAGGGAGATTCTCCGGCTCTGCACACCCGAGAAGCTGGCTCGGCAAGCCGCGCTGAAAAAAGGCGACTGGCATAAGACGTCTTGGTGCGCTGCAAAGAGGCGCCCGTCACGGCCGACGGCCAGCGTCACAATCGGCGAGGGCGCGGCTGACTGCGAGCCAACCAGGTCCTGCTCGGTGAGCGACCTTTGCAGCTTGGACAGCTTGCCGGGATCCCGGACCGAGGCCGGCTTCTTGTGTCTGGCCGTCTTGTCAACGCGGCCCGGGTCCTGAGACCGGAATGACCGCTTGAACATGGCTGAAGACGACGCTTGGGGTGAGGGACAAGAGCGAAACTCGTCCGAGACGCGAGGCAAACAAACGACTCGAGAGAGACGACGATGTCCGGCTCGCAAATTTGGCCTTGGCGAGAGAACGACAAAAAGAGCGCAGAGAAGGATGGGGGTAAGGGGAAATAGGGGGTGAAAAGAATGTAAGTGACGCACAAAGAATTGACAGAGGCCCGGGCAAAAGATTATACCTTCTTGGCGAAGCAAGACGGAATAATCTCGTGGAAAGCTTTGCGGCCCTGAAAGCGATTGTGGGTGAAGAGGAGGAGGAGGAGGAGGAGGAGGAGGAGGAGGAGGAGGAGGAGGAGGAGGAGGAGGAGGAGGAGGAGGAGGAGGAGGAGGAGGAGGAAGAGAGGAATGAGAAGAGCAAGAAGAGGAGTGACCCGGGCTGGTACCTCGAGGCGGGGCTCTCAGCCACCAAGGTACAAGTCAGCCTCACTCTTTATGAATAAACAATAATTAACAGCAACCAATCCCATGTCCAATCCTCCCCCGCACGTACACGGTTGTCTGCCTTGCCTGTGGGCTAGTAACTTACGCTACTGTATGGAGTGCAAAAGGCAGGAGTCCAAGAAGCAAAACCCTGGCACCGCGCCGACGGCGTCCAATCACCACCAGCCTCGTCCATCAGTGAATAATGCCCAATGCAGCCTCACCGCCGATGGATGGGCAACGATCGGATTGCGCATGGTGGCTTCCAGCGGCTCGTGAGTCCCTTCATCTGCATCATCAGGCACCCTTGGATCTACAGTAGACTGGCCAACGACATATCATCCATGCTTCTTCCCCACAGGGCCACAGCCCATGTCCAAGACAAGACCCCTGTGAAGACGGACGGGAACAAGCGAGGTGGGGACCAACGTCCAGTCGTCTCTGCAGGGCCTCGGCTCAACACCAAAAGCGTCCCGTCCTCGTCCTCACCCAACGCGACAACCAAGTCGTCACCAACAAGCCCCCTTTCACCATAAGGAGCCACGCCAATTCAAAAGAGTCAAGTCTAGGATTTTCTGCCTCAGCCTGCTGTGGCGCGTAGTCTTCTAGGTAAGCGAAATAAACAATACTGGCGGGAGTTTGCAGGTTGCCACAGTGGCACAGAACGATCACCGCCCTCGCCATCGCATCAACCTGCCCTTCAATTCCTTCCTGACCCCGTCGCCCTCACCTCGCCTAGAACCACCCTCGATCTTTGGCGCGACATCACTCATCACCCCAATCAGACGTCTCAACCCTCCAGAGCCTCAATGGAACCGGCGCGCTCGGCAAGGGACCGGGTTACTCCCTCGCGGATGCCAACGAAGCCAAGCATCATCGTGTACACTGAAAGTAGTCCAAGAGTCAGTCGCACCGCAGCAGCCACTCCAAGGCCAAGTTTACTCACTGAATTGCGACAGAAGCACGAAGCCCATGCAGTAAGCCGTCACTGCCTCCTTGGAGCCAACTTCCTCCTCGTCGAGCCAGAAGAAGGGGAAGACGTCGGTCCAAGCCTTTCCAAGCGCGGCCCAGGCGAGGTACAGACCCGTGTACACCACGAGGCCGAAGAAGTGGGATCCAAGAGCCTGTGTCTGTGTCAGTGGCAGGACAACAAGGATCGATAAGGACCTGGAGCTCACCGCAGGCCGCTTTGTGCTGTTCAGGAAAATCGTCTCGAGAATCATGAGGGCCGATGTGACTCCGTACAAGTTGCAGATGATAAAAGGCTTGAACCAGCCCTCGCCGAAGAGGTCGCTGACTGCACTGCTCGTTAGCCACCAGCAGCCCTGCAGCCCACGGGGACGACGAGGAGACATACAGGGACCGTCACCCACGAGCAGCGCTGGCGAGGCACCCTTGCCAGTTGCAGTGGCTGCGGCGACCAGCAGCTCTGCCGTGTCATGCTGACGCGTGACGAACCAGTAGACTGACGAGTTCATGAAGGAAAAGACCGTGGCCGTCGCGTAGAAGAGGGTGAAGTAGAATTGCTTGCGGAGACTACCCATGTTTGCAGGCAGAGACATGGCGCGGACGATCCAAGACTCGACGCCGCCCTGGACGCCGTCGGCATCGGGGTAGTACAGGTGGGTGAAGGTCCACGACTGCCAGGCAGGCAAGCTCATCAGTCACAGGAGCGTACATGTTGGATGGGGAAAGGGAGACATACAAAGGTGATGAGGTGGTAACTTGACACGAGGGCGTAGCTGATCAGGCCAAAGTCAAACAGGTGCCGCCAAGGGCTGTCCTCGGACTCCTCGGTGTGCTTGTAGTGGCCGATCATGGCCGCCACGGCCGTGAGATAGGCCAGCATCATTCCTCGGAGGACGACGAGGACGTTTTGGGGGATGCATTGCCATGGCGAATGGCTGACACGGAGAAAGGCAGGCTGTTGAGAGGTGGTGTCAAAGGTCAGGCAGCACGTCTCGCACCGCTTGGGGAGATGCCACCTACATGGTCTTGCATCACATTGGGTCCGGGGAGGCCGCCGGCAGCCGAGAGAAGAGGCGTTGACGACATTCTGCTGCTTTGGACACGGCCAGCTGAGTTTCCCATGCCAGGAGCCAAGGCCACAGTTGGAGACGGCGAAGAGGCGGGAAAGGATGCAAAGCGAAGAAGTGGCCGAAAGGTATTGCAATGCGGAAGCCAAAAAAGATGTGCCCGAGGCGATGGAGGTGCGAGAAGAAGACGGGAAGCTGTGGAGGCGGAGAGGAGAGAAGAAGAAGAGAGTCGCGGAGGTCCGGGGGTTTTGGAAGGCAGACGCGTGGAAGTTGACGGAAGGTGAGAAGGCTTGCGCGAGGAGGCAGGCGTCGGCCGGCACTGCCCTGGAGGAGACGGAGCGGGCAATGGCAGCTACAATTGGGTCCTCGCTCATGCCTCGTGCCCTGGGACCCGACTCGCATTGACATGAGTACCTGGACTGCCACGGTGAATTGGCGCCAGGGCAAGGTAACACTTTGGATAGGTATTGACATCTGACCATGTTCACGATGCCCCCATTTTGCCTCTCGAGGCAGCCGGGAAGGGGGAGAGCCACCGCATTTCGCCTTCCAGTGCAGATGAAGTCAGGGTTGTGGCGAGTTGAAGAGGGCAAGAGACGTTGCACCTTCAGGGTAGAGGAACACCCGTTGTCGTGCTCCTCTTTGCTCTGTTTTACGACATGCAACTTCTCACGCATGCGAGCGTCCAGCAGGCTGGCGTTAAGGCTTGACAGCAAATGTATTGTCATGAGCGATTTGTTATTTTCGACTGTTGGCACCCTCCTTCTCCATCCCCTGGCATCCGACGGCCTTGCCCGCCATCTCCTCGACCTTGCCGTAGCCCTGCGTCGAGTCGCGGTTCTCGCCTGCCTGCTTCATTGCGTCGACGCCCGCGGCCTGGTCCTGCTCACCCGACTTCTTCCAAGCCTCGGAGCCCGTGACGTTTCCAATTGTCGACTGTTGGGCATCGGTCAATGGGTATTTTTGGCGGTGAGAGGACGCGGCAAACTGACCTCGGCGACTCCCTTGGCATACTGGGCGTGGCTGGCGATCATGCCTGGCTGCTGCGCGTTGGTATCGGTCATTGTGTGGCGTTGGAGGACGATATCAGGATGGATAAATGCCGGGTGTCTGCGCAGATCTGTAGTGGACAAATAAGACTCGATAGACCAGCGCTGAAGCAGCTTTATATGTGCGGGCGCATGTGGCACCTTGAGTCTTTTCATGACATCATCAGTAGCCCTGCATCGTTGATCTCGATGGGCCGCTGCGGCCGAGGGTCTCGGCATCTATGACCTCAGAATGCTCCAAGACCGGCCGTGAGGTATGTGAAATGGTGATTCAAATAGTCATTTCCTTTACTCAAATTCAGAGTGCACGAGGTGTCTTTTGGTCCAAGCCTACAAGGCCGCTCCAGACAGCCAAGCCAGCACTGTCAAGAGCTTCAGAGCCCCGGCATGAGCTCCCGAGCCCTGGCATGAGTCGCCAGGGCACCCGACCAACACCAGCATTAACATCGTAGTGATGCGCCAACAGCTTTCCCCGCGTGCTATTGGAATGTTTTCTGTCAGCCAAAAGGAGCTGCTGTTTGCTAATGTCAGATGTGGCCAAGGAAGATACACTCCAAGGTACATAGGTACCTACCTTGTATCTCTTTAGATAAGCACTCTTATCGTCCGCTTAGCTAAGACCATAGCCCGACACGGAAAACGCCAGCTTGCCTATCGCGAGCCACGACCCGCCCATCTGTCCTGACCTCGCCACGCCCTGTCCACCGCTGCGCGACGGCCCAACTCCCGCCAATCCCCCGCCCCTCGAATCAAGCTGGACCGGCACAGAAAGTATTCGTCGCCATGCTGTCCAGCCTGCAGAATCCGCGCCAGGCGGCCGCCCAGCTCCTCAACTTTGCCCTCATCCTCTCCACGGCCTTTATGGTACGCTGCGGCATCAACAACGGCCTCTCGAGTCTAGCCCCTGGGTTTCTTGAATAAAATTTGGCTAACCGTTTTGATTTGCCTCCAGATGTGGAAGGGCCTGTCCATAGCCGCCGACTCGCCGTCTCCCATAGTTGTCGTCCTCTCCGGATCCATGGAGCCGGCCTTCCAGCGTGGAGACCTGTTGCTCCTGTGGAACCGAAACGTATGGAAGGAGACGGACGTCGGAGAGGTGGTTGTGTACAACGTCAAGGACAAGGACATCCCCATTGTCCACCGAGTCGTGCGCAAGTTTGGCGTGGGGTGAGTCTTGCCGCCCAGTTGATTGGCGCATTTCTAGAAGAGAGGGAGAGACAGAGTATAGGCGACTAACGGTTATGGGCCCTGCAGAGACAAGGCCAAGCTTCTCACAAAAGGCGACAACAACGTCGCCGACGACACGGACCTCTACGCCCGCGGCCAGGACTACCTTGAGCGCAAAGACATCATCGGCAGCGTCGTCGGCTACGTTCCGTTTGTGGGCTACGTCACCATTATGTTGTCGGAGCACCCCTGGCTGAAAACGGTTATGCTGGGCCTCATGGGCTTGCTGGTGATACTGCAACGGGAGTGAAGGAGGGGAAACCACGGCGCAGGAGGCTGGGGGCTTCAGCGAGTGGGAGGCCATCAGCTTTAGAAACCAGACTCGCTTCTCTGGATCATATTGGATACCATGACCACGTCTTTTCATCCACTGAGTGGGAGGGCCGGCTTCATGACGTACCGTCCGCTTTGCTCTCCCCAGTCCGGGGGCAAGAGGAGCCTGTGTCGCTGAAGCCCTTGTGGCGCCTCATGTCTGTCTGCATAGTAGCAGCAAATTTCCCTAGCTTCAGCCCACAGAGAGCCTTGTCATGATCATCTGCCATTTGGACCGGCTCTCTTTCATGCCCGGACCGATCAAAACCCAAAGCATCGGAATCGCGATGCCCGAAACCGCGCGGAACGATAAGGCAGATGGCATTTCTGCTAGATATTAAAAAGAACATGGCCAGTCTTGGCAATCCCGAGAAACAGATGGCCGCAGAAGGAAATAGTCTATCTAAGAATCAAGGCTTGGCAACCAACGGGCAGGGTATCATTTCCAGCAAACCCCAGCACAAACAAAGTAAATCCCATGAGCCAGGAGCCAGAAAACACCCGTCTTCTCGCACCCGTTCCTCGAGAGTTGCTGACGGGCGGGTTGCTTCCATCATCTGCGAGACACTCGCCACCTCTCCCCCCGTCTAATCCTCGAGATCCAGCTCCTCCCACCGCTTCGTCGGCAGCTTGCGCACCTTCTTGGCCGGGCTGCCCGAGCTGGCCGTGCGGACGCTGTCGCCGCCGGCGCTGCTGACGCGCATCCGCTCCAGCTTGCAGCTGACGCTGGCCATGCCGCCGTCTCCTGAGCCAAGGCTCAACGAGGATGAGGGAGAAAGCGTCTGCGTAGCCACAAAATCGTCGCGCTCCGCCAGCGGCATGCGCTTGCTGGGGCTGCGGCCCGTGAGCTCGCGCTTGAGCACCGCGTTCTCGCGCCGCAGCCGCTCCACCTCCTGCGCCATGTCCTCGACCAGCACGTTTTCCTTGTCGCCCTCGTGATGCTGATGTTGCTGCTGCTGCTGGTTGTTGCCACTGCTGTCGAGGCCTCGCTCGAGAACGTCCACCTTGCGGTCCCAGTGCTCGTCGCTGCGCTCCTGCTCGAGCGCCAGCGACGCTTTGAAGCGCGCCAGCTCCAGCGTCAGCCGCTGCTCAAACTCGGTTGCGCACTCGTCGCGCACCGCTGCCTCGAGGTCCAGCATCCGCTCCTCCATGCTCAGCAGATGCGCCTCGGCCGCCAGCCGCGCCTCGCTCTGCCGCTCCAGCTCGTCGCGCTGCTGCTCCAGCTCGTCGCTCATCCGCGCAATCTCGAGCGCCGCAATCTCCATCGTCGCCCGCTCGTCCGGGTGGATGCCCGGCGGCGTGTGTGTTCTCGTGCAGCCTCCCGGGCCCGGCGGCATGAAAGGTCGCGGGTGATGCTGGGTCGTCGTCGCCGGCGCCGACGGCGTGGGCGGCGGGATCGGCGCTTGCGGAGCGTGGGCGAGGATAGTGGCCGTGATGGAAGGGATTCGCGGCACCGTCACCTCGCGTGCCAGGGCGCTGTATCGCAGAATTTGCGACGTGGCGTTGAAGTCGCCGAGCGCATCGGCCGTCACCACCATGACGCCCTTTTGGGGGTTCCGCCGCGGCGCGTGAGGGTGCGCGGCCGCCGAGGCCGATGGGAATGAGTTGGAGAAGAGCAGCTCCGTCAGCTTGCACTGGCGGTAGGGGACAACGTTGGGCTGTGGCTTCGACGTTAGCCAGTCAGTCAATGAGAGAAGAGAGAAGGGGAGAGGACAGCAACCTTTGTCGACGATCCGGCCTCGCTCTGCGTCTGCAGACACTGGCCCAGATACATGAGGCTCTCGTTGATCTTGCCTGCCTCGACCAGCGTCGCCCCCTGCGTCTTGGCCTCCCGGGCGCGCTCGCTGCCGGCCAGGTCGACAATGGTGAGCTTGCTGCCGACCCAGGGCCCGGGCCGCCTGCTGCGGGTGCGACGCTTGACCTCGAAGCAGAAGAAGCCGTGGCTCCGGCTCGAGACGCTGTTGCTGCCCGTGCCGGCGACCCGTCTTTCGACGAGCCCAGCCTCGAGCACTATGATGGCGTCCTTGAGACTTGTGCACACCACTTTGCGCAGGCCTGCCACCACCTTGCGGTCGGGTGACAGCTCCGTCGACTTGAAGAGCAGCGGGCGCCGCCGGATGTCCTTGGCGGCGCCCGACTTGGCCGGCGGCGTGAGCAGGTCGTAGATGCGGTCGTTGTGCACCTCGTACATGGACACGACGACGGCGTACTCGGCCGACGCGTCGCACGCGACGTGGATGCCGCTGACGTCGGGCGTCTGCGGGAGTGCCGAGGGTCGCTGGAGGTTGCGCCGCGGCGGCGGTGACATGAGGCCATGGTCGCCGCCCTTGACTCTTGGTCAGCCTTCAGGTAACGAGGAGAGCGAGGGAGGAGGTGTGTACAACCATGGGCGTGGCGGCGCGCGAGTTTGTGCGAGAGGCGCCCAACGGGTCTGCGTACGTCGAGTCGAGAAAGTGCGGCGCTGTGCTGAGTAGGGACTCGGACGGGTCGCAGGCCTGTAGTGATTCGAGCACCGTCGGCAGCGACGACGCCTCGAGCATGTTGAGGTCGATGGAGTGGAAGAGGACGTCGAGGGCGAGCTGCGTGAGGCCGCGTTGGCTCTTGGATCCCAAGATTGTGTGCGTCTGTCCTCTGGTCAGCATCCTTGTGGCAGCCAAGAGGCTTCTTCTTCCTCTTCTTCTTCTTCTTCTCTTCCATAGTTACCTTTCCAGAGCCCGTCACTCCGAGCGTCGCCACGACGGCATCCGTGCCCTCGCCACCCTGGGGGGCCAAGACGCCCTCGGCCAGCGTCGCAATGTCGGCGCAGTCAAAGACATCGAGCTGCGTCGCGTCCTCCTCGAAGACGCGCGTAAAGGCAAATTTCTCAATGGCCCTCCGGCGGTCCGTCGGCGGGTTGAGCGTAATGTGCGACGGGCGGGCGCCCTCTTTTCCCGGCTTTTCAACGTTGAGGATGCGGTCCGCGTGTCCGGCGCCGGGTGGCGGCGGTCGCAGCCGCAGGTAGACCTCGAAGAGGTTGTGCGACGTTGACGGCTTGCCAGGGGCGTCCATTGCCCTGGACGGCGACGGCGCAACCGGGAAAGGGAGTGAAGAAGGGAAAAAACAAAGGCCGAGGAGAGAGGTGCAGCGTGAGGTGACGGGCGACGAGAAGACAAGGCCTAGGTGGTAAGATACAAGGTGAGGGTCATGCTTCGGATCCGCTGCAGAAAAATAGAGGGATGCAGAGTAAGATGCTTTGCAGCGGATGTGGAGCGTGGCGGGCTGGGGGTTTCTGGAGATGAAAGGGGGCGAGCACCACAGACGAACGTGCGTTTGCATGATGAATCGGGCTTGTTTACTTGCAGCACGCCCCGGGGCATGCGTGGCTGGCCGGGCAACCTGGCAGTCGATAAGCGCGCGTGCGTGACCGACGGCGGGCGCTTAGATACCGGGCATCAGAGGCGCGCGGCTCTGGTCACGCCTTTTAGCCGCCGCCGTGGCGGATGAGGCTCATGTAATCCACTTTTAAGTTATTCTCAGCCTCTTTGTCATCTGGACCCTCGAAATGTAACCCGGACCCAACCGGAAATAAAGCATGAAAAAAGCGCGATTCGCCAAGAAGAATGATACTTTGGGTATTTTTGCGACATCATTGGTCTCTTTGCTGCTTTCTCGCAGCGCATCCACTGCTCCCTGAAGAGGATGATATCCTTAGCCCGAGTTGTCTGTTCGTGTAAAGACCGTGTGCAAATCCTGCCTCCAACATGACACCGTCGGTTGGCACACCCTTCACTCCCGGCATCGGCCGCCCATCGTCAAAACGTACTGTGCGAATACGAGTACTCTGTGCTGCCGGCACGAGGGTGGTGTAACCACGAGCCCGACGACTGCGACCCTGACGATTACACTGTGCGTAGCCTGAAGCTGACCAATTTCCTTTGGAAAGACGGTGGTCCATCTCCTCCTGCCCGGCTCACTGTCTCCCTTTGCGTGGTGTCTCTGGTTCATCAAAGTATTATTATGAGTGAGTCATTGCCTCGAGTCATCGTCTTGAAGCCAGTACTACCCTGGACTTGGCCACCCGACAAACTAGTCGACGCGAAGCGCATTGCGGTCCGAGCACCTGGCAAGTATACGGACATATGACTCTAAGGGAGCCTTAGGGTGCTTGATTGTCTGCGAGTATCATTTGTTGAAAACCGCACTTTGTCTGTACGGCACGACTGGCCCAACGATCGGGCTAGTTGACTCGTACGCATCAAGCTCCGTGTGTAGCTCGTCATTCACTCGTCCCGCTGAAAAGGGTATTGCCTCCGAGACGTCCATGGTTTACATCGAATACTGTTTTCTCTTCTCTCACGACCTTCAGGTTCCCATGTCCAGATCGAGGATCCGTCCTTGCAGCCGACTGCCCCTCCCATCTTTCCTTCTTGCAGGAAGCTACAGACCGAGAGCCGCAGTCATGGCATGATTAAAGGGGACAAGGGACAGCAAAAAGAAAAAAGGGGATTTGAAACAGGCTTTTTTCATGGGGCCACTTCGGCTCTCCCCCTCCCTTGGCACATCTAAGTTGGCATGTATTCTGTATGGGGGGAAGTTCATCAAAGAGGTATTTTGGCGACCGGAGCTGAGAGAGAAAAGAGATGAGCTGACGACTGAATTGGCGGTCACTCATCATCCATCATCATCGTTCGACCAACCGACCAACTGGGTGTCTCGTCGTGGGCCTCGACCAGGAGAGCCCGGTGGAGCAGTGAGGAATTCTCCGCCCCTCTGTTGGATATTTTGCGGGTACGCAAAATGACCCTTGTACTCTGCATGGTCTCCAGTGATGTGCTTCATGTACGGAGACGTGGACACGGATTCACCGTCTTTGGGACATCCCGTGCGTGCGTATGCAAGCCGTCATGTGCGGTGACTGGTGAGTCTGGACGAGGACTCTCCCGTCTGAACCCGTGGTCGCCGACAATTCCGCTCCGCAGAGGCAGATTCTCGTTGGTCAAGTGCCTGGCAGCTTGGAGCTTGATTGAAGCTCTCGTACCACCAGAAACAGAGTCAAAAGCACGACAAGCTTCACGACTGGCCGCTAAGTACATTGTCCGAGGTACCGCATCGTCTTGTTGGAGAAGGAGCTCCCTCAACACACCTGCCCTGTCAAAGAGCGGTGACGCTGCACGCCCAATGCGGCCTAGCGCCTCCCGTCCCGCGAACCGCTCAGGCGAATCAGACGCCGGAACCCCACCATTGGAGGAAAAAGTTTGGGGGGGGAGAAGCAGCGTATTTCTCGCCCTCTCCCGTTCTGTCCCCTTCCTTTTCCCTTTCCCCTCTTGCTGCTGCATCACCAGCATCATCATCCAGACAACGAAGTCGCCCTACAAACCCTATCACCTAGAATCAACATCCATCCGAAACGTCGTCGAATTCATAATGCCTCAGGCCGTCGCTGAGCTGTAAATGCCCACTGCGGGCCGTGCCTGCTTCCCGGCCACGGCTCGCAGTCCAGCAGTTCACCGAGTTCAATCAAATCGACGATTCGTTTCCACAGCCTCTCCCGCTCCCGAGCTGGAATCAGCTCCCCGAGAGTCTGTCTCTGAAATTTCCAGATTTTGCTGCCTGCCCGCTTGCCCTGGGCTCCTCCTTTTCTCGCTGTCGAGCCACTACTTCGACATCCGCGCAACTCATAACTACAACCAGTAACACCCGTCACGGCGAGGGAACAAGGACCAAACAATACCCATCCCTCGCTCCATCCATGCCCACGAGAACGACACTCGGCATTTGCATACACTCCACCACTTGCGCCTCCCGCGCTAAGCACTGCCAGCTGCTGCCCAGCCGCAGCCCGTCGCAACACTGACTTTTAGCAAGAACCAGTACCTACAATCACCATTCGGCAAAAGAAATGTCCCGCAACGTTCGGCAAAAGTTTTCTTCCACCTCCGTCAAGGCATCGAAGCGGAGACCCTCCGACTCGTCCTCCTCCTTCGGCCTCTCCGATGACGATGGCTACTCGGCCGTCGAGGACATCAGTGATTCCGAGGATGACGACGAGGACGATGTCAAGGCGGCCGAGGAGGAGAACATCCTGACAGAGGGCTCTGCCCTGCCCTCTGTCGCTCCTCGGCCGCAACCGGTCGACCAAGATGCTGAAGACGAAGACGACAACAATGACGATGACTATGATGACGACGAAAATGACGATGACGAAGATGCCGAGGACGACCACCTCCTTGACGACGACAACGCCGACGAAAACGCCAGCTGGGCCGGTATCGCTTCGGAGGTGGACGGCAGCCAGGTCTCAGACTTCTTCAACTCCTTCGCCTCGGATGCCGTTGTCGAGCGCCACGTCCACTTCGACGTGCCCTCGAGCGACTCCGACTCGACCGACACGGAGGATGATCACGCCGATCTGTTTCCCGACATCTTCGTCTCGCAGAGCTCACTTGACCCTGCCTTTCGCCGCGAGATTGAACATGACGCCGACGAGTCGTCCGGATCGGGCTCCTTCTGGGACTTCAACGGCCAGCACGATGGCCGGCAGGACTCGGATGCGGAAGAGGTCGTCCGGCAGCTGTCGGAAGACGACACGCCCACGGCCACCCCTCGACCCACCCAGCCCGCGGCGACCCCAGCGAGCTTCACGCCTGCCTTTGAGGAGAACCTGGAACTGGACGGATACGAGAGTGAGTCTTTGCCTATACCGTGCTGTGTTTAGAACATGATTTTGCTTACGTCTCTTTGCCCTGCAGCCGATGGCGACACGACCGAAGAAGACATTCCTGAGCCTCCGATTCGGAGAAAAACTCGGCGTCCGTCGGTCCCGATGAGCGAGGCGTCCGGTTCCGATGTTGAGTCTCCCGTCAAGCCTCAGCGGGGCCAACCCCGCGTCGGCCGGTTCAATCTCGACAGGTCGGACAAGAAGCCCATCGCGGTCCTGAACCCCTTGACGCGGAAAATGATGATCTTCACCCCCCATCGGCGTCGCCAGCTCGATTTGTCGCCGGAGCAGTTCAACCTGCCGTGGCTCATGGACGAGCAGCCGTCTCCGCTCCTCAGCAGCTCGGCCAACATGATGCTTAGCGCCATGTTCTCGTCCAACACCTTTGGCGATTTCGTCAATGCCCAGACCATGGGGCCGGCAGAGGCCTTCTTTCCCTTTCCCTCTGAGGGAAACACGGCCGACGAGAGCTCGACGGGGCCCAGCGAGGAGGATGAAGCGGAGAAGAAGCTGGATATCAACGACTTCATCACCTGGGACACCGGCGATTCCTCTGGCGAGGAGGGTGCCTCGGGCGACTGGGAATCGTCTTCCACTCCCGCCAGACCCACGGCGGACTCCAGCGAGCTCGACGTTCTGTCGCATCTCAACTCGGAAACGGTGGGCGCGTTCCGCCGGAACCAGATCAACCAGCAGCTCATTCTGAGCAACCAAGCCACCCAGGACTCCCTCGCGTTTAGCGGGCCGTACAACTACACGGCACTCAAGGGCCTCAAATCGGATCGCTTCGACACGGCCGGCCTGCCTCTGACGCCAATTCGAAGGCAGAGAAAAAACCTGGGTGACATGGCGCGCAGTCCTCTGGAGTCGGCCTCGGCAAAGCGCAAGGCGTCGGGCGACGCTGGCGGGGGCCACAAGAGGCACAGGAGCATCTCGGACGTGAACATGCTGCGGATATGATGCGCAGATGGCGGTTCCGACAAGTCTAATACGAGCGAGGACGGCGTAGCGTTGCAGTTGCTGACACGGCGCTACCCCTGGCCTTGCCATTGATGTTGTGGGTGGGTGGGGGCGTTTTTTTCCTTTGCCGCTCTGGACCCTTTCATTCGAGCGCGAGTATGCTCTTGTTTCACCCTTTCATCTTCATGTCGTCACTTGAACAATGTTTGTCAGGCTGAGAAGATGATAGACACTTGTAGTCTTGGAAACAGGTCGAGTCTTGAGCGTCGAGATGGCATCAAATGATGTCGGAGATGAGAGGCCATGTCAAATCGTGTCGAATACGTCTCGAACACGACGACAGTAAACAGGAGAGCTGCCCTGCGGATGACGAGGGTACGCGATGCTCGTGGCGATGGTTGGGCATGGCTGGCTTTACTGGCATCGAAGTAACAACAAAAAGTTTTCTCTAGCGCACAGGATGGTTCTTTGGTGACCTGACCTTTTCATTTAACCCTTGTCTGGCATGTCTCGAGCAGTGTGAGAAGCAGCCGTAGAGTTTGCCAGTTGACGAACTGTCCGCGAGGCGAGACATCATTCACCCAAGAGCTAGCTCCCGGGTAGAGGCCTCGTTTGATGAACAAAGGGAGGATGGGTAAAACAGCAGCTTGCAAAGGATGGATGGTTTGTACAGGAAGTTTACAGAGATGTTGGCCGGCTCGACCTTGTTGACTATTGCGCAACATATATGACCAGGGTGAGCTGATGCCATTCTCATCCCCACTCGCCATTTTTCATGTACAGTGTTTCCCACCCCCAATGTTTGTCGACAGGACAAACGCGGGACCCTCTCCAAGTCTTATCCCGACTCCCTTGTTGTGGCACTATCCAATTCCCTTAAGTGCCGGGTTCGTAAAAGGCCACGGGGACGCCCTGGCCGGGGCACCCGACGATATCTGCCTTGTGGTACTGGGCGGACCAGTCGCCCCTGTACTCGACTCGTTCGTACTTTTGCAGCAGACGAACCACTTTACACCGGCGCGGTTAGCTGAAGCTCGTTCTCTTTCCTTTTCTCTCTTTTCGCGCCACTTTTTACGGTCCAGTATAGTATTTGCAGGGGAAAGGGGCAACCCACGAGTAAAAGCCATCTCCGTGAGGGCAAAGTTCTGGCCTATGCAGATGCGAGGCCCGCCGTTAAAGGGCAGGTAGTGCCAGGGCTTGGGGGTCCAGTGCTCCCAGCGCTCAGGGCTGAAGATGGCCGGGTCGGCAAACTTTTCCGAGGCGGGCGGGTAGAGGTCCCGGCGGCGCTGCATGGCGAGGGTGCTGTAGATGATGACGTCGCCGGGGAGGGCGGCGATGTCGGGCTGGCCGGGTGGACCTTGGAGGGTTGACGATTCGACTATTGGGAGTTGTCAGTATGCTTGCGTCTGTCTCCTGTGCCGAGGGTAGATCCATGTCAGGCCAAACCAGGGGATGGACGCACCACAGGATCGGAGGTTGTACGGAACAGCGGGCCACAGGCGCAGCGTCTCGTTGAGGGTGTGGGTGAGGTAGGTCAGGTTCTTGAGATGCTCGTAGGTCGGGGTGCGGTGCGGGCCGACCGTCTCGAGGACCTGGGCGCGCAGCTTGGCCCAGACGCGCGGGTAGTTTGCGAGCTCGTAGACGGACCAGGCGAGCGTCGAGGCGGTGGTGTCGCGGCCGGCGAGCAGGACGGCCATGATCTGGTCGCGGATGACCTTGGGGTCGCGCGAGAGGAGGGCAATGTTGTGGAGAAAGGTAAACTCCTTGTCCGACTTTGACAGCTTGTCGAGCTCGTCGGGGCTGAGGCGCAGCGTTGCCTTGATGTAGGGGTCCATGAAGCGCTCGATGAGCTTGATGCCGTCGGTGTACTTACGTTTTGGTATAAGCCAGCGAAAGGGGCTGCCCGCAACTGGGATTAGCAGCGTTCTCATGCTCAAGGTGGCGTCAGGGGCAAAGACGGCAACGCACTGGAGAATGGTAAGAATCATTTGCATGCGCTGGACCTCGGTGAAGGCTTTAGTAAAGGCACTGTTGGGGTTATCCAGGGCGCCGACATGCTCGCCGAGGAGAAAGTCGGTGGTGACGTCGAGCGTCATGCGGTAGAAGAGATCGCAAATGTCGACGGCGCGCCCCGACTCGGCCGGCAAGTGAGCCAAGAGGCGGCCGGTCCATCGGTCAAAGATGTCGAGGTCGCGGACGCGCTCGCGGGTGAACATGGGCCGGATGAGGGCGCGGCTGCGCTGCCAGAGGGCGCCGTCAGTGGTGAAGATGCTGTCGCCGAGAAAGGGGCTCCAGGCGTCGTGGAAGAGGGCGCCCTTGCCGAAGCGGGCGAACTTGCTCGTGAGGACCGTCTTGACGTGCTCGGGCTCGCGCGTGATGATGATGCGCCGCGTGGCAAAGGGCAGCTCGACGGCGTGCGGGCAGGCCGAGGATGGGGTGGCGAAGCGCGTGAAGATGGTATCGAAGTAAGCGAGGAGGCGGTCGGTTGCCTGCATGTATGCTGCTTCCCAGAAGAAGTAGATGGCTGCAGGGCTCAGTCAGTCAGGGCATGCTCTTTGCCTATGTGCTGATGCATGGGAGTTGACGACTTCAAGAGAGGACGGAAATGTTCTACAAGATGACAAGGAGGGGAACAGGAGGGTGGCGAGAGTTCCATACTGTTGGAGCCGTTTCGACGCCCAACGCTCACTCTCACACATCAATACTTACCGCCAAAGGGGTTGTTGGCCAAGACGGGAGCCTTGACGCCGGGGTTCTGTCTCAAGCGATACTCGAGCCGGAGTCTCAGAAAAGTCCAGACGACGGCCAGGACACATGGCACGGCCAGCGCCACATTGTACGGGCTCAGCGCGACCTGGAGCATGGTGGCGCGACTATGTGGCTTAAGGGCGAGGTGTCGATGGCGACGAAGCTGATGGATGAAAGACGCAGCAGAAACCGAGAGCAAAGAGCCGGTTTATGCGCTTGCGACTGTGAAAACCTTGTCGTGTGTCGTGGTGGCAACCTCGGCTCTTGGTGGCTTCGACCGGCGGAGGCGTCGTCGTAGCTGATGTGGAATTCGCAGCTCCTGAACCTGTGTTGATGAAATGCTGCGGGTATCATATGCAGCTCAGAGAGGGTCGTCAGCGAACTTGCTAACAAGTCGTGGAAGAGAGCTGCGTGCGATGGCGACGTAGGCACGCAACTACAAGTAGTTTGCGCTTCCGACTATGTGACCTGCAGACAAGGACGAGAATCGTCGAGGCCCGGAACGGAGGGCGGCAAAGGGGTCCGAGCCTCTCTATATAAGCTCAGCCCAATGAGCTCGACGCTGCAACGTTGGGTCCCGGGGTTGGATGCTGTTTGACCTGACTGGGGCGTTGGAGAGCAGTGACGATGAAGAGACTCGAAGTTTAAACGCAGGCTTGACCAATCGAAACAACAAGCACGGTCAGCGGATACCAACTTGAGACGGGGAGAATAACAGCGAGAGGAGAGAAAACCGGGGGGCCGCAAGGGGAGGCCGACCGGCGGCTGCAGGCAATGGGCGGGCGACGGGAAGGGCCTGGAGCGGGATTGGCTGCAGTGGACGGGACTGCGGACGAACAGCCGTGTCCGACTTGGAGCATTTTCCACCCTGGAGATTGGGGCTCCCTTGGCCGTGGGGAAAGAAGCGAAACCCGGGATGTGTGTGTGGGGGAGACGCGGAGCCGGGGGAACAGAGTGCGAGCGAGCTTTAGACTGCCGGCGAGCTGGAACCCTCACCCAGCTTGCTGTACCTACATGTATTTGGCACTGGCAGTCTGCAGCTGCCCCGGCTTCGTTGCCGGCAAGTCGTGACGCTTGGCGTGGGGAAAAAGAGGGTCAACATTCCGGTCGAGTGCTGGTGAGGTGGTTGCTTTTCCTCTGTTGGCTCAAAGCCCGTCTGGCCTTTCAACGCCAAATCTTCTCAAGACATGCTCGTCGTTGAAGGGCTGCTTGTATTTGCGATCCAAAACCGCGGCTCCAAGGCTTTCGAGCTCGCACGTGCCTCGGAAAGGGGGGCTTTCGAGACGATGGCTGCCACGGGGGCCCGGCGAAACAAGGGAAGCGGAGAGGGTGTTTGATGGACTACGTAGCCACGCGAGAAAGTCACCGTACGTCGTCGTTTTGCATATGATTGCGGGCAAGACACACGGCCCGGCCGATGACGTTGCCGCAACCAGGCGAGGAAACGAGACGGAAAGGCTGCGGTCCATGCAGGCTTGGCCTTGAAGCCTCGTCCCTTCTTTGCAGCAGGTCTCATTTCTGGGGAGGTGTGTGTGTGTGCGTGTGTAGTCGACATGTGAAGGCGGAGAAGGGCCAGGGGAAAATAACAAGTGCATGTGCTGGGCGTGTTCAGGGCGTGTGCTGGTACCCAGGCTGCGTCGTCGGCTATTCCCAATAGTGTGTTATTGTTTCAGCCATTACAGATGGTGCGTCGTTGGTCTTGAAAGACAATGCTTTTTAGAGATGCTTATGCCGCTGGATTTCCCGTACCCCGGATTTCACGGGCGGTGATCCGGACCTTGTCGGAGCCCGGGGCCGACTCGATCGTCTTACTCCTTGGCGCAGTGCTTGTACCACCGAGGACGCATGAACGAGACCACGAATGCTTTCGGTCCTTTATTACTGCACTTTAGAATGCATGATTGCAAGCGGGTTTAATCAGGATAACTCCCGGTCCGCAACCGCCTTATCAAATTAATTCAGCTAATGGAAAGGCAGAACGACTGATTTCTTCAGGGACTCTTTGACTTGGGCGCGGCTCATAACAGGGTCTGTGAGACTTAAACAGTAAGCAATATATATTTAAAAAGAGACTGCACTTTCACAGCGGGTCCAACCGGTTCGTTTAGCCCTTGCGGGTTCATCGAGGATAGAAGCGGTCTAGTGGCGCAATGGCAGCGCGTTGCTTTCCGGTGGCAAAGGTTTCAGGTTCGAGTCCTGACTAGATCGTCTCAATTTTTTTCCCACCTCGCCGAGGCTCCTTCACGATATTTGAGGGCGCTCTTGCTGTTGGTCTTGGGTGACCTTTTTTTTCCTCTTTACAGAGGACAGCAGTACTTGTTAAGCCTGTATATTTCATTGGAAGGTCTTCATTGGGCGGATTGACCTTTCCCTCGCTGCCATGGCGAGACAGACAGTTTGCCCTTTCGTCAGACACTGCTCTCTTCAAACCTCCTATATTGCCCTCATGGTTTCACTCTTCTTTTAGTCGTCCAATCTACGCAGTCGTCAACGGTGGGAGCTTCGTTTCAATTCTTGCGCCTTGGCTTGGTGAAGCTTGCGCATCGGACAAGATAGTTAGCGGTCTGCATGGCGACAGGCTTCCTCAGCGACACATCTGGATCCAAGGGTGCCGCAGCCTGCGGATTTCGGAGCAACACCGCCTCGGGTTCGAGCATGTCATCAATGCAGCAAGGAATTTGTACAAGAAAACTGGTCTGTGGGGGAACCTGCTGTGGCGAGCAGCCGACATGCGGTGACCTAAAAGGAGGCAAGCCGGCCTGACGCCTCTCACAAGCGATGGCCATGCCATTCCCGATGCCCACCACCGCTGCTGGGCGCGGGTGCCTTTAGCGCCGAGATAAAGGAAGCCTGTGTTTTGCAGACTTTCAGACAACGCTTACAATTTGACCGGGCCTGTTCAATGTTCGATGGAAGGAACAGGGAAGCCTGGAAAGCTCGCTAACGGGGGGCATTGTCGTAGATTTTGCATCCTGGCTGTCAGTCACCCTGTAGCGAGGTAGGTAGGCCAGTCAGTTCACGATTAAGAGGCCAACGCGCCAAGGCGTTGGTGGGAGCAGTCTTTGTGGCACACAAGCGTAAGCAAATGCTGCCTGGTGTGGTTATCGTGATGTAAATGTACATGGGGGCAAAAGGACACATGTACGAATACTGTTCTGCCACAGGAGTCGGTTTGCATCGACCCCAACCGAGACAAAGCATGCCTGCACTCTGACTGTTCAACTTCGTCCTGGCACTTCATACCGTATTGCGGCGCCGAACGGGCCTGTAGCTGAACAGACTGCTTCATTGAGAACGTGTCCATCCTTGGCAAGAGGACTTTTCACACGTTATCTGTTCAAATACCATCCATTTTCCAACTACCGAACAAAAGCGGTGGGCCTAATAGGCACCGCTGTTGTACAGAGATCATATATCGTAAATGGAGTTGGGTTCCCTGGCAACCAAGAGCCTCGACTTCAACCCTGCAGCCAACGCGGCCGCATATCCCGGGGAGGCGGAGTTGAAGGAGCCAATGTGCTCCGAGCTGCCAAGAGTGTTCCAGCGAGCCGCTAAGGAGAGCCTTGCAAGTCACACAGTTACCGCCTGTTCATGAACTGTCCATCCGCTGTTTACATACGCTTACAGGACAGCTCGCGCACTTCTCGATTTACCCACCAGCTCATACCGCAGGACAGGACGCGAAACGACTTTTCTGGGATGAAAAGTGTCATATGCCCTTCCCGAGAAAGGTATTGTCCTCGTTATAAATATTCACCAACTCTCGCGGACGTCTTCATCAAGCGGCCTCCGCAACTGAAGCCACCCTGAGACTGCCCTTCTGAAAACCTCCAAGTGACCCTTGAAACTCGCGACAGCCGTTTTCGGTCCAATTTCTTCAAATACCTCAAGTACGTTGGCAACGTGCGACTATGGAACTACCCAGGGTGCCCGTGTCCAGGGCGGCCAACCCATCACAGCAGCGCAGCGCATCGAGTCCGGAACCGAGTCGCACCAGCAGCGAGTACGACTCGTCAGGCGAGTCCCGTCGCAGCGAGCCCGGCCCGGCAGAGTGCAGTCAGTTCAAGGACGACACCCTCCCGCTGCAGGAGATACGGGAAATCGTCAAGCGGGTCCAGGCACGTCACGAGAAACTAGAGAAGGACAGGAAGAAGGAGAGTGCAAGGAAAAGCCAGCAAAAGAAGAAAAAGGCGCAAGACGCCAAGGACAAGTTGGACAAGCTGAGCGAGCAAAGGAAATCTACCTCAGCGATCATCTGCGCGCTTGAAGCCGAAGTCGAGGAGGTGGGCAAATCGGCATATGCTGCTACGCTCGGCCTCTTGTTGGGAAAGTACTTCTCAATGGAGATTGCCTTGGCGAAGGAGACTCTGGAAAATGTACTCGTTGCCAACCCTGATGTCTCAGCTAAACCCTCGGTTGCGCTCGGGCTGGACAAGCTGGAGGCTGACATTGTGGGTGATGCCAACCTGGCCAGGTCGCCGGATCTGAAGAATCTTCATATGCGACGAGCGGCAATGATCAGGAGCGTTCTGAACAGCTAACAGAGGAGCTGTTGCCGGCTTGCGTGTGTAATGATGGATGGAAAGTCTGCATCTCTTTTGTCAAGTGGAAGAGGGCTGGAAAGTTTCCCTTTAATGGGTTAATAGGAGTGTAGAGAGACTCAGATTATATGTTCCATCAGCCTCGGAAAGTCGGTGTTGCAAGAGGTCTGCATTGGGAAACGGTCCACGGCTCCCCGACAGTAAGTCGGACTGGTGGAGGGCATACAAGCAGCGTGGTGAGCATCTGGGCGGCGTCACTCCTCTGACATCACGGAGTCCCAAGTGCTGTCATGACATTCTAGAGTTTCAGCTTGCTGGATAAACCACTTGGGCTTGCTACATTGACGTCAAAGACTCTCGGAAAGCCAGGCCAGCTAGGAATTAAAACAACTTGAACTGGATCAGCTCTCATACAGACCAAAAAACTGACATTCGTGCTAGTAGAGCCGCGAGCGGGCGTTGTACTGTTGACCTATGTCAGGCCTATGACAAGTGATGACGCCAGGTCTGACCGCGGCAGGTTGGGTGGCATTCTCCTGTGTTATTGTTGGAGCATTCCATCCTTGGCTTGTGCAATGAACCTTGTTCGGTTAACTGTATAATTAAAGCGTACATATCATGAACAGGTCCAAAAGCCCGAATTGGGCCGGGAGCCTCGATAACTATGAGAGCAGGGGCCATTTCCAGGTTATAGTCGCTCGTGCTGCCTTGTTGAAATTTTCGATGAGTACACCACCGAATGCTTGTCCGAGCGAGGGTGCTTAGCTGGCTGAATGTTAGCAGCCCGCTAACATGGCGGGCGACTTCAGTGTCCGCCTGGATGGGAGCCAAGTTCCTTCCTCGGTGCCACTATTTGCACTGATCATGAAAATTGCAATACTGGGAAAGAGGAATGGGATTGGATTGAGCCTGGAGAATCCTGTGCACAGTGTTACATGACTAACTGTGGAAGTCGGGGACCTGAAGCTCCTATATTTCCTTCATTCAAGGCCTTGGCGCCAATCCCATATGTTAGTTCCTTATGTTCCGGCTGATGAGCTAGCTGAATGTTGGCGGCGTGCTAATTCGGTACGTCTCTCTAGAATCAAACCTCGCCTTAAGTTTAAACTCGGCCAACCGTTCGCGAATTCCTTTCCTTAACGGTACTATACGTTCTTAGAGCTATGGAAAAGGTCTGTCCATACTTTCTATCATGGCCAAGCATTCATCATAACAAGCCAGTCTACGTGGATAGAGCGGATGAGACGTTGATTGTCGCTGTACATCTTCTATAAGGTAGTTAGCTCCATCAAATTCTGTGCTCAACAAAGGTCGTTTAAACGTTTCCTTTGGCATCTTTAAAAAGCTTGAGCAAAATGCCCAGAGCTTGAAGTAGCTGATTCAACGATGAATATGACTTCTCCTGCGCTAGTGTAGCTTGCCAAAAGGGTTGGAGGAAACGCGCCGTAAACCTAAGGACATCCCAGTTATCCTATGTGAGAAGCGAGTCCCTTGGCCTCCTGTCTTTGTTTTAACCATGTCTCGTTGGCCTATCACTTGTCGGGTTTCGGAGCCCGTCCCGACACACATTGACCACTTTCACCTGAGATTTGACTTGATTTCAAACAGGAAACCGAGAAGGTCTGGCATAGATTGGGAGAAGACTCAACGGGGCAATGTGTCCGACGACGGAATGGACCAGGGGGAATTCAGGACGATTACGACTGGTTTCCGGGCATAAGTGAGCTTCACGCAAGACTGGATGGAGACATGACACGACATGAAGCCGTAATGCCTGTCAGGTCTTCATTTCAGCTCAGCCTAGATCTCCGTGGTGGAGCAATCTCCTTAGCCCGTGCCGGAATGATACCTGGAGTATGGCTGTCTTTGTTCCACCTTTTCTCAGCCCCAGCGACATTATCTACACCGGTATTTCCAGCAGTTTGGCTTGTTTGGTCCAGTTCAACGTGGTTCTGTCTTGGACTCTAGTATCCCTCTGTTGAAAGTCAGCAGTCTCAGCCACATCACTTGACGGCCTACCAAGGACACATGCTTCTCATTGCTACCCACAGCAGAATACATAAAGACAACCATGGGCGTTCTATTTTTGCTGTCTCTTCCACTATATCATGGCAACTCCTCTTCTCCCATGACTGCATAAAGCTATAAAAAGGACAATGGGTGGGTCCCCGGCTACAGCGTCGGGATCTTCAAAGGCGTGACAAGGATTCCAATGTTGCAACACTCTCAGCCCTGCCACACTCGAGTTCACAGAGAAAATGATTCTGAGCTAGACATAAGTGGAGCAAGTAAACTTATCTCAGTCTACCACTTCATGCCAAACTCGGGTTCATCGGCGTCACCTTCTTCACAACCTTGGCCGGAGCACCGACAGCCACGCTCCAGGCCGGGATATTTCTCGTGACGATGGCTCCCGCCCCTATGGTGCAGCCTTGACCAATGATGACTCCGGGGAGGATCACCACTTGGCCCCCGATCCAGCAGTCGTCCCCAATTGTGATTGGCCTGGCGTACTCGATGTTGTCCACGCGACTGGCAACCTCGACCTCGTGCGTTGCCGTCGATATGGTGACGTTGGGGCCGAGCATGACGCGGTCGCCAATGTGCACAAGAGCACTGTCGAGGATCGTGAGATTGAAGTTGGCGTAGAACCTTGCCCCGACTCTGACGTTGCATCCATAGTCGACATGGAATGGTGTCTCGACCAACACGTCGTCTCCCACATGCCCGAGTACTCCAGCGAGTATATCGCTTCGCGCCTTTTGTAGGCCATCGAAGCTCGCATCGGCATCGCCGGGAATGTGATTGTTGAACTTGTGACACGCCACACGAGCATTGTAGCGGCTGTGCTTAAGCTCAGGAACAAAGGAGTCGTATCTGGGCCAATTGAGTCGTTGTCATTGAATACGAGTCTTGTGAAAAGGCCAAAGACTTACAGCATCCCGGATATCATCTTGTCGTAATCTTCGCACTGCGGCCTGTGGGCAAGACTCGCGGCCTTGGCCAGCTCATGCTGTGACAGCTCGTTTAAAGCCATGGTGATGCAGCGAAAGAATGAATGGGAAGGAAGAACCAAACTAAAAGTCTAGGTTAGACATGGGAAAGATGCTGTCCAGGGGGGTGTTTGGTTCTGGAAGCAGCAGGTCTGTCGTCAGCAATTAAATAGAAACGGATGCCAAGGGATTCGACAGTCATCTAGCATGACTCTACCGTCAAGTGGAAGCTTGTTCCTAAAGCGGAAAACGAACCAGTCAATGATTCGCGGCCTCGAAAGAGCGGGATCAGTAGCAGCCTAAAGTAAGCACCTTGTTCTAGCAAGGTCAGATTATTGATGTATCACTCGCCTAGATATCGAAACTTATCCACAGATATTTAATAAGCATTGCTACAGGTATTTTGACTTCGTTCAGACGTTCAAACTGTTCCATCTACTGTTGAGAAGACGCCCCGAATACGTGTAGTTCTGGAACTTTAGCCGCCATTGCAGCATATATATATATATCTCAAAAACCCGATGGCCCTCTTTTCAACTCTGGACGAAGAAGAAAAATGGGGTCTATTTGGTCGACATATCCGCAGGCAGGATCCGTCATGGAGTAGCCCATAAAGGCCTGAGTCTTTTGGTCATATCGCTTGGCAATCTCCTGCGGTACCGCCAGAAACTGATTCTCCTCCTGCCGCAGGTGGCCTCGTACAGAAAAGGTGGCAAACATAAGACGGGCCTGGTCCGTGGTCAAGTTTGTGCCGCCGCCGTGGTAGGCTGAGGCGAGCATGAGAAAGGCATCGCCCTTTTCCATGTCGGCAAAGATGCACTGATCTACTCGTGGGGGACCTCGCTCGGTGCCCCTGTTTGACAGGAATAATAACCGATGTTCAGCATATATCGTGACTGAACCAACTCAAACAAATGTCGAGTGACTCACGGAGAGCAGGCACAAGCGACTCACCAGAGATGACTGCGTGGAATAAACTGAGTGCCCCCATTCTCTTTGGTGACTCTGCATCCCGCAACAAACAGGCCCACAGCCGACTCGCGGTTCTTGTCGCGCTCGTCGTTCCACTCGTCAATGTCCTCGTGGACATTGTGGTTGATGTAGTCGTCGCGATGCAGAGGCTGCGCCTTGCCGCCGGGGCCGATGCTCATGGCGGTGCACGAGTGCACGTATGGCTTGGACACGGACTCTTTCCACTCAGTCCCCCACCAGTACGAAGTGCGAGTGGTGAGGAAGTGGTCAACGACGCTCTGGTATAGAGGGTTCATGACCTGCGTCTCGGCATAGGTGGGACTCAGGGCCAACACCGAGGTTGCTCGCGCCGTCTCCTCTTTATTCAGGCCGAGGGTCAGTCGGCGGAGTTTCGCCCCTTTGAGTATTAATTGGCAAGATATTAGACTGACTGGGAAAGAAGGATCCAGACCACTCAGTGCTGGATTCCATCTTGGGGCGGCATTCCGCATACGCCTTGTCAACATCGGCTTGGGAGACGAGGCCCTTGATAAAGACACCGCCATCACGCTTCAAAAGGTACAGGATGTCATCCAACGGAGTGTCGGCCGCCACCCTTTGCACTTGAGAGCTGTACTTCATGTCGGTGGCGGAGACGGACACGGCGGGCACGGAAATATGTTTGGTTGAGGGAAGATTTCTTGAGTATCTGACGATGGAAGCCAAGAAAAGGGAGAATAAAGTTGCCAATCTAAATATTGCTGACCGAATGCAAATATAAATACGCACTGCCTTTGGGGGAATAGAAGCCTGACCTAAAATGGAATGGAGTCTTAACGGAGCCGGGTGGCTTGGCGACTGACTGACGAATCCAATGCGCCCTCGAGTATGCAAACTTGACCCAATATGGCAAATCTCCCAACTCTCTCTCTGCTTGGCGACAGAATGACAAAGCATTAGAGTCCTCGTTCCAGGTCTAGCCTCGCGGACCCCCCCCTTAAAGCTCACCAGTGACTCTGCCAGCCAATCTCACCACGCACACGCAGCTGGTGAACCCGTCCCAACGAGGAAGTCATGCCAGCTGATTACATCCAGGCTCGAGGCTCAAGTCGAACTCGAAAGGGCAAGTAAAACAGCCTGACCCAAGTGTTCGATTCTCTCTACATCAGTGCTGACGCTGGACAATCGGGTCCCGTCACTAAATCATCAGCCCCGGCCTGCGGAACATGCCGCAAGAGATGCCGCCGATGTGACCGCACGCGGCCGGCCTGCAAGACATGCCTGGCCAAGAATCTGCACTGCGAGGGCTACCCGCCTCGCTTCCGCTTCGTCCCGGTCGTCGCTCCCCAGCCAGCGTCGCCGTTGAGTCCGAGCGTCGTACGCGACGAGTCGTACGAAGCTGACGCTGCTGTTGGCCTCGAGGATGAGGCCGATGACAGCCAGGATGGACATGTTGAGCAAGCAGCGACCAGTGAGCCGGAGACGAGAGCCACGCGGGGCGGTGGCGTGCGCGACCCGAGCACCGGGGCCTCTGGTCCCTCGCCGCCTCGGTCACCGAGTTTGAGCTTCTCAATCGAGGCGGCTTCAGGTTTGGTTGAGCTGGCCAAGCCGTTGAGCGACCTGATTGGGGCGTCACCCTCCGGACCCGACGGCACGGTTCACGAGACGCCCTTAGTACAGGATATTGGTCGTATCTTGTCCGAGAGACACGTCTTGGTTACGTATTGTGAGCTCCGATACGGGTCTCCTTAGCTGGACGTGCTCATCTCTGACGCTGCTATCAGTCGAAGAAAAACTCGCCATGGAATTGGGAATGCCCGCCAGCGCCAGCGGAAGCCCATTTCGGAGCCACATCCTGCCCCTGGCGCACCAACACCAAGGCGTCCTCCACGCGTTGCTAGGCTTGTCCGCCTGTCATATGGGGCTTTCGAGGGCCGAGGAGACGATTCCGGAGGCCACGACACTCGGCCTTCAACACAGAGCAGACGCTCTCGTCTGCCTAGGACTCTTGCTGCTCAAGGAAGCGAGCCAGGGGCTGACAGCTGCAGAGGAGGAATTTGTGCTTGCCATGGTTGTACTGCTGGTCTTCCACGACGCAAGTTACCCCCCCCCCTGCATTCCTTTCCTCTTGGCTCTGCACGCCTGTCACTTACTGACAACCGGATGCATATTTAGATCTGCGAGTCGGGTGTGTCTTCACACGGAGCACACCTCACGGGTATGGCGTTCTTGTGCTCGAGAATTGCCTCTCCCTCGGCCTACCCGCGAAGAACCACGGCCAGCATGTTCTTTCTTGTCACGCTTGCATGGTAGGTTGAGTCGCAGAGCCTTGGTCTCCATCCGCAGTTACTGACTTTGATACACTGCTATCATATTCTCAGGCTGGACATGCTCAGGGGCTTCAGCGGTGCTGAAAAGCTCGCCTACTCAAATGTTGTACGGAAATGCGTCCGCGATCACGGCAGTCTCCATCTCCAAACCTTCATTGGTTGTCACCCCTCCATCTTCTACCAAATCGGCCTCACTTTGGAAGCCGCCAAAGCACATCGCCAGGGTAGCCTCTCCACTGCCCAGTTTCAAGCCACTCTCGACGACACCGAGACGTTTCTCAGAGGGTGGGACTCGGATCAGGCCGTGTATCCGACCCCGGAACCGGAGTGGAAGCTGCTCGCAGACGCCTATTGCCATGCTTGCTTGCTTAGGGTCATGCGATGGCCCGACACGTTTGCACTTCCTTGCACCGACGAGCGCATACAGGCCTCGGTTGTTGCCATTCTCGACATTGCCGCGACTATTCCCAGGACGTCTCGCTTCTACAAGCGGCTTCTCTTCCCGCTGTTCATGGCCGGAGCCGACGCGGCCTCGCTCCACCAGATGCATTATGTCCGTCTGTGCATTGACGAAATTAAAGAGTCGACAGGCATTCCGCATCACGCCCTGACGCAGCTGCTAACCGACGTGTGGGAAGAGAGGAGGACGAATCCGCGAGGGCTGCGCAACGTTCCTTGGATGGAGTTTGTAAGTAGTAGCCATGCCTTTGGTGCCAAATTCTCTCTTGGTGCGACCAGTTCAAGTCCAGTATACCGCCTTCTGACATTGGCCAACGCTACTGCGTTATAGACATGCTCCTTATCCACCAACCTTCCACAGCACGCGTACCTGTTCTTCTAAGTCTAGTTCCGGCCGTTGTAGATCGGCATGAAGCACTTGGCGGCCCGAGCCGAGAGAGAATGTGCACCTTTGCTCTTCAAAGCGTGCTTTAGAATGAATTCGGTACCGTGCTTGTGTTGCAGGTGGACACAGCAGATACCTGTAGGCGCTTGAGTTGTAGCATGCATAATCATCAGTCGTCGGCTGACATTCCACAATAATGGTGCAGAATTGATGAATGGTGCGACTTGCGTCAATGCTGACAGGAGTCAACAGTCTCTGCCTTTCTGCATGACGCACGGTGCTGTCCATGCATCCGAGTCTGGTAAAGTCCCCAACTGAAACAACGCGTGCCACGAAGCCTAGACCAAAACAGGGCACATAGCCATCTGCTGGGAGGCGAAGCACTCCATAGTGGCTGGCAAATTTTCCTCTTTGAGGGGGTCGCCAAGAGAGTTTCAGGCCGGCATTTTCATGTTTCTTATGACAAAGAAGATGCTTGTGATCCGTTTACTGGACTGGACCCTCCGACTGATGTGGAAGCCCCGTTACGCAACAGAGCAAGGCGAGCTTCATGCCACTCTGGCATTCGCTCGTGGTAGTTTATACGCACATGCGCATGCATATGTCCTGAACGTGCAGACGGACGTATATAATGGTCCGCTCTTATCACTCTTGAAAGTGTAGACAATACGTACTTCCTAGATACACCTCGTCCCAAAACCCATAAAGGTTTCAATTACCTGCAGTCACTTCACCTTCGACTTGAAATCCTCTGCTCGGCTTCCACCGCGCCAGATCGAAATGTCATTTCCTCTGGGCATGACCAGCTATCCCCTGTACGGCGACTGCGTCCCGCCAGCCCGAACCGCGAGCGAAATCGAGGCCCTTGCTGGCGCCAAGGACGGCCCGGTCCCTGCCCATCTGACTCGAGTGTTGTACATTCCAAGACACAGGAGCGACGCAACACATCTACAGATATACGACGTCACGGCGCAGTATACTGCGGCAACGCGAGGTCTGACTGTCGGCGGAAGTCCGTTCAGAGCCAGGCTTTTCATGATGTCGAAACCCACAGGAAATCACGTTACTGGAGACGTCAGATATCTGGTGGATATTGATCCGCAGGGGCTGAGAGCACTGGTCAGGGAGAGGAGTTTAGGGCGAGAAGAACAGCAACTTTGCATGTAGGTACCCGCAGTTCGAAATGCTTCGAGCAGTCTGGTTAATCGAAGCAGGTCTTTATTATCCGAGCAAGAGGGTAAATTCCACTTGCAGACAAAGCCAGCAGGCTCCGGGTCGAAATATGTCGCCGAGTCTTCACACGCCCCTGAGGAACAAGAACGCCAGAACACTCACACTCGCTTCCCTCACTTGACCCTTGGACGGAAATCAATAACTAGAGGCGATCTTCGGCCCGCTATGGAGTGGCGGACTCATGCAACCGAGTATGAGTGCATTCGCTACGACCTGGTGGATGTCGGGGCAACAGCCGACAGCAAGTCCAATGGAAAAACGATTGAAGGGGTATACTATCATTGCGGCCTAGAACCAAGTTTTCCACGAAAATACAGTGAAGGGATACTATTCCTTCCCGAGGTTCAAGGTTCGGATATGGACATGGTATCCGTGTCGTCCCTAATTGGGCTGCTGTGGCAACTGCGAGGGCAATACACTCCGCCCAGGAAATCGGCCTGGCGGTCTCTGTTCCGGAAAAGGCCTTCTTTCTAGACATGGTTCAAGTTGCCAAGAAGGATATCTATGCGGCGGCTTGAGAGCGACGTAAAAATAAGAAAGCAGAGAATACAATCTCGCATTTCGAACACTATAGAGCCGCGCGCGGCTTCAGGACATCTTTAAATACTTACCAGGCCGCCGGTGAATAGTTGGCGGGGACTTGCAACGCACGTCATGCTTCCGGCAAGTTTCCGAACATTCTTCGGGCTACCTCACTCGGCTATCGTCTCAGTGTGCTGCTAAAATCCAGGCTGCTTATTTGCCATAAAATAAGCTTTTACCCCGTCCTTTTACAGATTTCCGTTACCACGGCAATTGCTGACGTTCACGGTGGGCAAGGTGCTTACCTCTAAAATCGAACAGGTGAAGAAGCCTTCTTTTCCGGGCTATCACCACGCTCAAATAGAGCTTGGCCATCAGTATTGATGAGCGTCCACTCTATTCATCGCAGGAATGGAGTGCTCCTCGGGTATCTACTAGGATGGCTTCCTCTGACTATCACCTATCTCGTTGGTGCGCCCCCTAACAGCACTGTTAAACTGATAGAGGAGTCACCTACTTCGCAAAATCTGTCATCTGGCTGTCCCTTCGGCCTCGCCATAGGAAGTCCAAAAGGAAATGCAGAGAAAGTAGCCGGAGACTCCATGATGACTCGTGAGAAGAAAGTTTTGCACATAGGAACAAGAGTGTCGGTAGGAGTGAAAGGCGTTTCAACTGCGAAGTCGAGCTGGATGGTGGAATATTAGGCGGTATGGAGATTTCTCTAGGCTGCATTTATAGACAACCCCAGGCGGGAAAAAGAGACTGGACCAAAATTTGGATGATGGACGTATGAAGATTCGACTTGGCCCTACGAACTGTAGTCTCGAGTCCTAAACGGCCGATGCATGATGAACTTGCCTGGACACATCAAGTGAGGAGATGATTAGCCCCGAGTGATGGCAGGGCCATGCCTCTAATAACGTCTTAAACGGTAAGCAAAGGAGACTTAATGACAATCCGAGGGAGCTCCAAGGCACACCGAGGATCCTCTAATCAATAGGGCGGAGCTGGTCCTAGAACATACACTACTCGTGCAATACACGGCATGGAAGCCCTGGATACCCTTATGAACCTGGATTCATTTCACATGACTTCCTCGAGCACGGGTGGGCTAAACTGCCGAGGAAGAGAGCTTGTCCCCAAGAGCGCCTGGGTGAAGGAGCTTATCGCCGGAGTTTTGGTACCGCAAGAGCGAAACAATCGATGGTCAGCAAGAGGCACGTCAAGTAACGAAAATCCCTGGCCATTTCTCGCAGAGTGGTGCTATTGTCAAGTCGCGGCTGCTGGAGATGGTGGCCCTCGACGTTCTGCTGTTGCGAGCACTATCGCTGCGTCGATGGAGCGCAGCGACCAGAGGCTTCTATTTTTTTTTATATCATTACTCGCATGCAGCCTCTAGGGCCATGGCGACGCTAATAGGGACCTAGGCCCCTATTAGTAGTCCTAGCTAGCTATAGAGCCCGGTGGCTTATAACTAATTAGGGAAAGGGTAGCTATAAAAGTAAAGATAAAGGAAAGGTTAGTTTAGTTCCTCCCGCGCGGTGTTTTCCCCCCCTAAGGGCCCTAGGGCCCCTAGGTTACTCCTTTTCGAGCTACTTAGCCGTTCTTATCTCTATTTTAGCTAAGAAGGTTAGAAGGGCTTCCCTTCCTTCCTTAGAGCTATAGAAAAAAGGTAAGCTAAGGGCCTCCTTCTATCTCGTAGAGGTTTAATAAAGGACCTCTCTTTCCCTCCTATAGTTCGGGCACCTTAGGATAAGGTGCCTAGCCGTATACCTTCCTTAGCTATAGCGGTAGTCGTCTTAGTCTACCTTATTAGTCCTTTTTAAGAAGGAAAATAAGAAGCCGGCCTTAAAGAGGACCTAGTAAAAGGCTAAAAAGGTTAGCCTAGGCCTCCCTATAAGGTCCTTATCTAGGCTAAAGGCTAAGCAGGGGGTCTTTTAAATAGATATATAGTACTTACCTAGGCCCTTAGCCTTAGGGCTTTTAGCTACCTTAGTAGCTTAAAAGCCCTTTTAATAGTCCTTAGTAGCTTACTAGACCTTTCTTTATAAGTAGCTAATAAAGACTAAAGGGGTCCCTTAGGTAAGGGCTCCTAAGCCTCTCTTAGCTAGCTAGTTAGCTAGCTTATTACTAAAGATCCCTAGGTAGCTAAGGTACTAGTATAGCTATATATTATAAAAGGCTTCTAAGCTAAATAAGAGTTTTTTAATATATATAGCTAGGTCTAAGAAACTTATAACCTTTCTTATAGTAGCTTAGCTATTTATAACGATATAGGCCTTTATAAGGGGGTTAAGGGAGCTAAGCCTTAAGGGCTAAGGCTTTTAGCTAGGTCTTTTAAGACCCTTAGTATTATAAATAGCTTTATATTAGCTACTTTAATTAAGGGCCTTAGGTTCTTATAGTATACCTTAATTAGCCTATTTTCTAGGCGTATTTTATAAAAAGAGTAAGCGTTAGTCTTTATAAAGGACCCCTTAAGGCACCCTTTAAAGCCGTTAGTATAAAAGGCTAAGAGCTATAGCTTAAAGTATTCTAAGCTAGCTAAACTAGCTAAGAAGTATTAGTACTACTTAGCTAAGGGTTTAAAAGTATTATAGAGTAAGTAGAGGTATATATATAGGTACCGTTTATAAGATAATATTAATAAGCTATATAAAGCTCTTTTATATATAGCTAGCCTATATATATATATATATATAAGATCTAGCCCTTTATATATAACTATATAGCTTAGGCTATAGCTTAAGCTTATAACCTATAATAGTTAGATATTTATATAATACCCTCCCTTTAGCGCGGCATAGTACTACCTTATTAATAGCTTCTATATAATTAAGCCTTAGGCTCCTTATACCGCTAGCTCTACCTTACCCTTTTCTATTAATTATATTAGCCTTACTAGCCCTATTATCCTTACGCTTATTAACCTAAGTAGCTAGTACCTAGCTTTATACCTATTAGCTAGTAAGCTATATAAATAAGGGCGCGACTTATTATATACGCCCTTAAGCGGCTAGTAGCTAGCTTAGACCTATATAAGCCTTAGGTTACCTATCCCCTTAGCCTTAAGTAGCCTCTTTTACTAAGGGGTATATAAAAAAGCATTCCTTTTTCTTCCTTTCCTTCCTTTTCTTCTTTTTTTAACTATAGTAATAATAGTAA